TATGCCAATTGAGCTAGATGTTCCCCGAGACCATGGTCCCCACAGCCCTCTGCCCAGCAATTCAGTCCCTCAGGGAGTTTGGATGTGTCCATAGGGTTTTTAATGGCTGGTTTTTCAGAAGTAGATCACCAGGACTTTCTTCCAAAGTGCCTCTGGGTGGACTCAAACCTCCAACCTTTCGGTCAGCAGCCGAGTACAATAACCATTTGCACAACCAAGGAATTCTATTTTCTCTTTGTTCCAAGGAAGCCAGTCATGAGAGTTCAGCCTTTGAGGAGCTCATGTTGTGTTGTAGGAAAGAAAAAATGACAATAGTTGACACTTTGTGAGCCCATACTATGTGCCTTCATTGTGCTAAGCATGTTACCTTGTGAGAAACTATCAGACAGTAGCTCAGTGCAGCCGTGATGTCAGGTATATTTGTGGAGGTGGCATTCACGGAGCAAAACGTAGAGGAAGTGTGGAGATAGGATTAAACAAAGAGTTCAGTAGATTTGAGTTGAGGGAATATTTTGAAGGTCAGGCTGATGAGTTTAGGTTTTTGGAGAGATGGTGTCAGTATCATCTCTGGGTTCTTAAGGAGATTGAACAACATATAGGAAAAGCTTACTTGCTGAGGATGATCTGAGCTACTTTTATACGGCATATTGATGTGAGGATAACTTGGGTTGGGTAGACCAGCCAGGAGTCATAATATTCTGATCATGAGGAAATGAAAAAGAGGAGGTTGGTGGTTTTTGAAAATACAAAGAAAAGCGCTGAAGAAGCCCCTAGAAAACTCTTTCTTGGTAAAACTCTAAACTTTGCATTTTCTGAAAAATTAAGAGCAGCAACTGGGAGGGCTTGATGCATGAATAGTTAAGAAACATAAGAATATAATTCCAAGTCTTTGAAAACAAGAATTGGAGAGAGTTAGAGGTTAGGGCTAGAGCTGTAGCTTTGGGAATCTTTGACTATAATGATATTTATTTGAAACCATGCTGTCTGCTTGCTCAGGAGATAAGTGGTATTCTTTTCCCGAACAAGAAAGAGATTTATCATCATAAGCTTCCAAGTAGCCTGGCTTGCAGAAATGTTTTCCTCCTCTCCCTTGCATTTGTGACCGTTACACACCCTTTGCTTGCCTTTTTAATGGCTCAGTGGTAATTCTTTTTCCAGTGCTGGTTGTTGAGTCATAAAATTAAATTCATCTTCCTAAAGTATAAACTAGTGCAGTATACAGAATCTTGAGTTGCTTTTGCCAAGAAATATTGCACAAACTTGGATTATTTATCTAGAAATAATTTTCGGAATAAACTGGAGTCATTTGTGGGGAAGATGTATTTTCTTGTGGTGGAGTTTCCAAAATTCAGGACAGGAAATAGCACATTTAGTTATTTTCCTCTGGTCTGACGATGACTAAAGAATTGCTTATTGAATATTAGCTTTTACTTAGTTATTTTCCTCCTTAAAAAAAAAAAATCATGAAGTACTATAGTATTTTGTATTACTAGCTCTAGACCACAGAACAGCTGTAAATTCAGGATGATCTCATCAACATACAACTTGGAATCCTAGAATTTTATGACTGAAAGCAATTTTAGATTTAGTCACCCCTGATTTTATAGATGAGGAAAGTGAGATCACTGCTGCTCATTGCCATCTTCATGAAGGAAAACTAGATGCACTGTTGTATGGTTATCACTAGTTCTCTGCTTTCCAGAAGAGAGGACAACTGTAAGGCAGGGATGGCAAAATAGTGCCCTAGAGGCCAAATCCAGACCAAAGGCTATTTTATTTGGCCCACTCAGTGTTTTAAAAACGGAATTGTTTACTATAGTTTTTAAAATTGGAAGATTTTTCTAAGAATTAGAAGATTTGGTTTCATTTGGCTGGCAGTGAAAAGCAGCTAGTTCTTTGGAACAGAGCATGCACTCGTGTGCTCAATTCACCACTCCTTTCTTTCTTTTTGTATTTTATTTTTGGTGGCAGTATACACAACCAAACCATACATCCATTCACGATTTCTGCATCAGTAGTTCAATAACATTGGTTATGCATTTCCAGGGCTTCGAACCAATTCTTCCTGGTTCAGTCATGGCCAAGGAAGCAAAACTGGAACAGACCTGAATTTTTAAAATTTGGGTGAACTGAAATGATAACCGGAATGGGAAAAATTATGGGTCGAAGCCCTGCTAGAAACCTAATCTCCCTCTTAGAAAATGAGGGCAGTGTACTCATTGCATAACACCCAAATCTCATGCCCTTAGGATTTTGAAGGGAGTCAGAAATAGCAGTGCCCCAATCAAAGATAGCAGCCGGCTGCACCACTTGGAATGTGTGTCGCTCTCCATACCAAAAAAAAAAAAAAAAAAAAAACCAAAAAAAACCCCTTGCCATCAAGTCGATTCCGCCTCCTAGCGACCCTATAGGAACTGCCCCATCGGGTTTCCAAGGAGCACCTGGTGGATTCGAACTGGCAGTCTTTCAGTTAGCAGCCATAGCTCTTAACCACTCTCCCACTAGGGTTTCCTCACTTGCTATCGTCCTGCCAATAATCCAGTCCCACGCATCAGGCTCCTGAAAGGGCTCACTATGCCTCTTCCAAGCCTCCCATTCCAGGGCTTCGGCAATTTTTCCCTTTCCAATTATCATTCCGGATCACCCAAATTGCAAAAATTTGAGTCTGTTCTGGTTTCACTTCATCAAACTTCACCAGTCTGAACTGGTTTGAAGCCCTGCCTATTTCACTTTGTATCACCATTCTTACTATCTCTGCCCATATTGTTTCATCACCATTAATCTAGGTTCTCTGCCCCCTTAAAGTTCTCACCTGTGCTTTAGATTAACTGTCATCAGTTTAAACTTTTATTAACCCATTGCCGTTGATTCCAAACTCAAATAGATAATTCTTTATAAGAGTGCTATACTCGAGACAAACATTCTTTATTAATTGAGTAATGATGGCTTCATGGGATAATTTCAGTTCAAGTTTGAAAGATTATCTCCAAGCATTAGATTCAAGGGTTTCCCCCAGGGCTTCAAATTGGTTTGTCCCAATTCAAACCCCTGCTGAGAATTTGCATTACCACCCCCAGATATACTGAATCAGAATCTACATTTTAACAAGATCCCCAGGTGATTCTTATGTATAATGAATTTTGAGAACCACTGCTCTACTAATGGTTCTTAGAACTGGTCCCTAACCAGCAGCATTAGCATCGCCTGGGAATTTGTTAGAAATGCAAATTCTCCCCATAACCAAAGTTCAGAAGGACAGCAGGGGCAGGAAGGCTGGGAAAATGGACACAGGGGACCCATGGAAGAAGGGGGAGAGGACTGACAGATTCAGGGATTTGCAACCAATGTTATGAAACAAGCTGTATATAAATTGTTGAAAGGGAAACTAATTTGCTTTGTAAATTTTCACCTAAACAATAAAATGTTCTGGGGGAAAAAAAAAAGAAATGCAAATTCTCAGCAGGGGTTCAAACAGGAACAAATCAGTTAGAAGCCCTGGTTTCCATATGCGTTTGAAGTTCTGTTCCATGCTTTTTCTCCTTTTGATCAGGATCCATCTTTTGTGTCCTTGAACAAAACATTGAGTAATGGTAGTCGGGCACCATCCATTTCTTCTGGTCTCATTTACCACTAATTACTAATGTCTTAAAATCATCCTGTCTTACACATGTACATCATTTTCCTGGCCTCTCTGGGTATTTGGGATCCCCAGTCTAGTGCAGTATGTCCCAACTTATATATTGGAAAACTAACCATCCAAAGGCCTGGCTGATGTATCATGGGGAGCAAATTTTTTCACAGTTCTAGATGCTGCTCTTGCACAGGCTGCAGTGAGTGCCCCAGTTGTCATTTAACTTGCATTCTTTTCAGCCAAACCCTGCTTATCCACCCTCTTCTGAATCCACATCCATTTATTCACCACTTTCCCACTACCCCATCTAAATGACAAGACTCAGCTGCTTCATCACTTTGACTAGGTCAGGTGATTGGTGTTTAGGTAATCTGAAAGCTGTGCATTGATTTGGCCAAGGTCACATGGCCAAGCAGTAGCAGTGTGCATCTAAGATTAGAGCCAAAATATTACGTTGTTAACTTTAGTCAGCACATCTGGATTTTTACTATAATTTCTGGTTTAATGGTCCTGAAAGTCTATTACTCTAAGAAAGTGTTCTTTTGGTTTATAAGAACAAGACACAGAAGCTAAGGGATCTTGGGATCTCAGAATCTTGCCCAAAATATCATTCCTGTGGTTTGATCATAGATTCTCTATTAGGAACTTTTGCTTTTTCCAAAGATTTTCACTCTTTAGAATGGTTTTCTTATTTCAGGGTATCCTAAAGCCCTCTCCAGAGGAAGTGGTATAAAAGCAAGAAAAGAGACAGATGTTTTCTATTGGATGTAAACTGGAAAAAAGCTTTTGAGATAAAAGAAATGCCTGAAGCACTTACATAAAGAATAAAATCAACAATTACGAGATGATAGCAATCTTAGAAATAGTCGTGATGTATGATACGCATGCAGTGTTGTTCCAAGTAAGATTCTAAAGCACAGATCATGGGTTCCTGACCCAGACTCTTAGATCTTTGCAGTCTATTCCAGGCCAAATTCTGCTGTACTAACACACCAATTTCAAAAATCCAGTATAAGCACAATATCACTTAGAGTCATCATAATAAAAAGGCTAATTTCTGTTCTTACAACACTGGGAAGCTATATCTTTATATTTTAAAAGTAATCTTTTCATTTGTGAAAATAATGTATAATAACATTAAATAATTGCCTGTCCTATGAGTGTGAGTAAAGGAGAAAATTGTTAATTGCTAAAATGCATAAGATTATGGAGATGTTGAAAACTGACTTTTATTGTGTAAGCAAGGATGATACATCATTACTGGAAAGGGAAATAAATTCAGTGCAATGAGAGTGAAGGGACAGTTTTTTTTCTGGAGTCCTGATATCAGCACTGGTGCTGGTTTCTATTGACCAGATGTGTACTTGGGGCCTTGGGTTATTTTGAGTGAAGTATTTAAGATATGTGGTTACCCTTTTCTAGATGCTTGAGGATGTCTTCCATAATCTTGATCCTGATGGTACAATGAGTGTAGAAGATTTTTTCTATGGCTTGTTCAAAAATGGAAAATCCCTTACACCATCAGCATCTACGCCATATAGACAATTGAAAAGGCACCTCTCCATGCAGGTAAGAAATAATAGGAAGTGATTTCTTTGTGGGTAGAAGTTAGAACCCATTTGAATAATTTTCAGTGAATTAATCGGTTATCTGAAGAAAAATACTGAAAAAGAGGGAAGAAAAAGAAGAATAAGGGGTGGGGGGACTAAAACATTGGGAGGGAAAAGTTGGGTTTGCAAAATGACCATAAATTGCAGAGTGGGAAAGCCACTAATCTATGCCTCTTAGTGTCAGCTGTGGGTCAGAAGAATCCTGGTGTTAAGTAGAGACACATCTCATCTATGTCAAAGGACTCTCTACCAGGCCAGTTGTTTTTGAAAAGCTTTGCATTCTTAGCTCATTTGGGAGAGATCAAAGGGGCTACATGACTCCTTTTTCTAGCAGTGTATATTAGAGAAACATACCTTCTGCTCATTGTGGTTGGGACTGACCCATTCCAGTCCTGACCAACATCTTGTTGAAATGCCTGGGGTCAAGTTGACCTTGCTCAAGTGTCTTCCTTCCAGTCTTTCGATGAAAGTGGACGACGTACTACAACCCTGTCGGCAAAGACAAGTACCACTGGCTTTCGGGTCTTTTCCTGCCTGGATGATGGGATGGGCTATGCATCTGTGGAAAGAATCCTTGACACCTGGCAGGAAGAGGGCATTGAGAACAGCCAGGAGATCCTGAAGGTGTGGCATCTGAAATGAAAGTACAGTGACAAATCAGGGAAGAGTCGTAAAATTCCAGTTTCTTTTGAAACTCTGTGATTTGATTTCTCCTTAATGATTTTAGAAGATCTTCTACAAGATCTTCAGAGATAAGAGACAGCTTTTCTCACCCCCTTTAACCAGGAGTCTGATGCAAACTGTTTTCCATGTTATTAAACCCCAAATTATTGATAGGAGAAAGGCTCTGGTTTGATCTCTGGTTGGTAAAGATTAGAGTTGTGCCATTGTGTTTATTTACAGTGCCAGATAAATAAATACAAATAAATATTTGTAAAAGTACAAATAAGCATGTTATGGTTTCCTTAGGGAGAACTTAGTTATGTTCTAGAATGAAGGCTCTTCCTAAGCAGTCACCAAAGCAGCGTAGTCATCCAATTTCTAGACCATAGATTCAGTTATCTGAGTTTGTATAACCTTCACATTTTCTGCTTTCAGAGGATAGAATTTGTGACTGTCTTGAACTTGTGCCTGGTTCTGATTTCTAGGCCTTGGATTTCAGCCTTGATGGAAATGTCAACTTGACGGAATTGACGCTAGCTCTTGAAAATGAACTTTTGGTCACCAAGAACAGCATTCACCAGGCTGCCTTGGCCAGCTTTAAGGCTGAGATCCGGCATTTGCTGTGAGTTGAGCAGAAGGTTCGCTTGCTCCATTCCCTTTCCTACTTGTTCAGCAATTCAGTCCGATGCCTGTGACAAACATTCTCCATTTCTATATGCAAATATGGCTAATTTTCTATCATCTAACTACTTCATAAACTTTCCTTAAACTGTAGGAAAATGAGGTAGAGCTTAGATTTGCATGTAGGCTTTTGAAGGGAACTATGGAATGCCTTTTTGTTTTTTGTGTAGGGAGGGTTTTGGTTGTCTTGGTTTTGTTTTTGAATTGAAGCAAATCAGATGAGAGCTTTTTTGGATCTACTTGTTGCTTAGAAACAGTCTTCCTTTAACTCAGTTTGTTTCTGATTCTAGGGAGCGAGTTGATCAAGTGGTCAGAGAAAAAGAGAAGCTACGGTCAGATCTGGACAAGGCTGAGAAGCTCAAATCTTTAATGGCCTCAGAGGTGGACGATCACCATGCAGCCATAGAGCGGCGAAATGAGTACAACCTCAGGTGCGACTGGTAGGGCAAGGGCCTTCCTTTCCCACACCCTGGCCCAGGGCAGCGTGTCTGCAGCTGCAGTGCCAGAACAGAGCAGAGGGGGCGCTGCCTGCCTAATTGTTTAGCCACACTTGACTGCAGTGTTTTTAGGTTTGGCCAAGCCTAAAGAAAAGGAGGACATGCTCAATAATTTTTCAAGATTCTTTCCATCTCTCTGTTTCCATTTTTGGTGCAGCCTCATATAGACCTCTGAGGGAGCTGATGGCAGTTTATCAGTTCTTTCCTCCCCACAGGAAACTGGATGAAGAGTACAAGGAGCGCATAGCAGCCTTAAAGAATGAACTCCGGAAGGAGAGAGAGCAGATTCTGCAACAGGTGAGCAAGCAGCGTTTGGAACTTGAACAGGAAATTGAAAAGGCAAAAACAGAAGAAAACTACATCCGGGACCGCCTCACCCTCTCTTTAAAGGTAATAATCCTATTAGTTCTGTGTCTCTGCTGGGATACCACATGGAAAACCAAGGCTGTGTAAGAGGGAGGGTCTGCTTGGGTTCAGTCCAAGGATTCCCTTAAGTTTGCCTAGCTGAGCCATGACCCAGACAAGGTCCCTGCTAGGATCTGGATTTTAGGGGTATGCAGGCTTCTGGTTTGCCAACAGCATTGATTAGAACATCTTGTTCTTACCCTTGAAGTTGCCCTGGGTCCTCAGGGCTGTTTGGTACCTGGTGACACTCTCATGTTTCCCCACAGCTGCAGTTCCAGCACCCCTAGGCCCCCATTTTCAGCAGATGGCTTCACCTTCAGGCACACATAAGCCATCAGCTTTTCTTCTCTCTGCCTCCAAATGAGCCTTTTCCCTGATACATCCTCCCATCCTCTCCTACTGCCTCAGTAGAGGGAGTGGTCCTTCTTTTTACTGGATAATGTGGTGCAGTATAATCTAGAGATTAAGGGTGAGCACTCTGGAGCCAGACTGCCTGTTTCAAATCTGAGCACCACCACTTATGTAAAACCTCGGGCAAGTTACCTAAACCTGTTTGCTAATGTACAAAATGGGCGCCATAATAATGACTACCCCATAGAGTTGATGTGGAGATTAAACAAGACAATACATATACACTGTCTGGAAAGTAATAAATACATATGAAATATTCACTCTTGTTGCCATTATGAAAGGTTCCTGCAACTCCACACATCAAAAAATGAGCTAATTATCTCTCCCTAACCACCAGACTACTTCTCCCTAATCTACATCATCGCCATGTGCTATATGTCACAGAGTCATCCTCACTCCTCATCACTCATCAGTCTCTAAGTCCCATGATGCTGAGAGATGGCTCTCAGTTTCATCCCCTTCCTCTCCATTTTCACAGCCTCTGAAATAGGGTCAGAATTCATCATAATTTCTCAGCTGACACATGTGCATCCTGACCACTCCTTTCCTCCATCTGTATCTTCCATCTATTCAACCTCCATATGGTTACCAGGGATTCCAGGGCTAAGCACTCGACTACTAGCTGAAAGGTTGGTGGTTCAAACCTACTCAAAGGTACCTTAGAAGACAGGCTTGGCGATCTGCTTCCAAAAGCTTTCCAGCTTTGAAAACCCTATGGAGCAGTTCTACTCTACACACATGGGATTGCCATGAGTTGGAATCAACTCAGCAGTAACAAACAACAACAACAATATGGCTACCAGAGTTGCCTTACTAAAAATCGAATATCATCATTATTGTGAAAACATGTTAGCACTGAAGGCCCCTGGAAGGGGGCTCATCATCATTCCTTTCTAACTTCAGCTCCTGCCAGCAACTCCTAGCTCCATGTATCTCAACCCCAGTGCACCTTCCATCAGCAGTCAGCACCACAGTGGGCAGGACACGATTATACTCCTTCACTGCTTTCTCTAACATTGCGGGCCAAGTTAATAGTGCATTTCCTATTGTGTTATAGAGTTGTATCCATATCTGTCTCCCCATGTCCAGATTGTGTGTTCCCTACGGTCAGTAACAATACCTGAGTACCAGCTCAGTGTCCAGCACACAGAGATTGTTCCTTATTGTTTCAACATCTGCGTTTAGATATACTTTGAATTACTAGACTTGTAGAATTGGTATTTGGGGGAAGATAGTATTTTTTTTTCTTAAGTGTTTCAAGTACATTCTTTTTCACTCCATATTGCCATGTGAGGGTGTGAACTAGAATGTATTAAAAATATACTGGCTTTATAGTCTTTTGGCAAAGTACACTTTGAAAATAATGTTCTTCCAGTCAGCCTTTAACATTGGAGTAGAAAATAATGTCAAAGCAACGGCATGTCTGTATGGTTTGACTTATTTATTTGTTTAACAAACGTGAGTAGAAATCATACTAAAAAGTACTATATATACAGACCCTTTTAAATGAAAAAAAAAAACCTTGTGGATTTTTAGTATATGTGTTATTATAATAACTTAAGCAAATACAAATCATGAACAACTTATAGTATCACTTTTACATATTTAAAACCAAAACCAATTTGTAAACTAAATATAAACCAAAGTATAATATCATTAAATGAAAATTGACTGTAGAGTTATTCTACTTTTTATAGTTTTTCTGAGTTCTCTTTTGCTGTCAACTGAACAAGGTATTTTGTGGCTGGTTTTCTTTGGCAATGTATTGAGAGTGTTTTTCATGTCATTAGATATTCTACTGCAGTGCTATTCCACAGAAATATAATCTGAGCCACATATGTAGTCTCAGATTTGTGAATAGTCACTTAAATAGGTAAAAAGAAACAGGTGAAATTAATTTCAAATCATTTTCTCTAATCCAGCATCTCCAAAATATTATCATTTTGACATATAATCAATATATAGAAATTCCTGAGATAGTATACATTTTTTGTACTAACTCTTCGAAATCTAGTGTATATTTTATATTTACAGCACATCTTAATTTGTCTTAAATATATTTCAAGTGCTCAATAGCCAAATGTGGCTGCTAGTGGTTACTATAGCAGATAGCAGCACAATTTGACAGGATCAAGAAAAAAAAGGAGTGAGGTTTTTGGGTTATAAGATGGATGTCAGATTTTATATTTACCTTTGTCTCTTAATCCACTGCAACTCTTCAAGATAGGCAGATTTTCACAATCTAGAGCACTGATTTATGCTTAATATAAAATGGTACAACCATTTACTTATTTTTTAAATCTGTGTCACATTTCATTTCCCTAAATTTCTTCAGGAAAACAGTCGTCTTGAAAATGAGCTTCTGGAAAATGCAGAGAAATTGGCAAAATATGAGAATCTGACAAACAAACTACAGCGAAATTTGGAGAATGTGTTAGCAGAAAAGGTAAATCTGTTTAAATCTGATTTCCTGATGTGCAGCCCAAAGTGTAATTTACTCAAAGGGGCACCAAGGAAATTTCCAGTAGAGAATCTATTAAGTGGCTAAAGGAAGCTGTCATTTCTGCAGGGATGTAATTTAGTAGGTAGGTTATGAGGGAAAACATTGCATGGCCCTGAGAAATGCCAGCCATCTGATCCCTGCCTTAGTTGAGCATGTCACTCTAGTATGCTCTCCATTTGGTGGCGGTTCTGCATAAGTGTCACATTCCTTTCATACTCACGAGGCTGGGTGAACACCAAAAACTGGAGCCTTTGGCATGTTACAGGTCAAAGAAGGACATTTGGGATAAATGATGACATTGTCTTTTCTTTTTCTAGTTTGGTGACCTTGATCCTAGCAGTGCTGAATTCTTTCTGCAAGAAGAGAGGCTGGCGCAGATGAGAAATGAATATGAGCAGCAGTGCAGGGTAAGTGGCTGGAGAGAACTCAGTAAATGGAGCAGTGCCTAGTTTCAAATCCTGTTGCCACCATTTACTAGCTATGTGACCTTATACAAGTCACTTAATCTGTGTGTGCCTCTATTCTTCATCTATAAAATGGCAAAAATAAGTACCCACTGAATAGGGTTGTTGGGAAGATTCAATGAGTGAATATGGGTAAAGTGCTTACAGCAGTGCCAGGGACATACAGACATTAGCTATTAATGTTATTATTCAATATCCTGAATTACTAGGGAATGATGCATACTACATTTAAGTCTTCTTTATTTAGGTCAGAAATTGCTAGTGCTTAGAGGAAAATGTGTTTTTATTTCAAGTGGAAGAATTTGTGGTCGTGCTGATGGGCTTATTCCAGAATTAGCCTTATCCTGTGTTGGGTGCTCCCCACCCCCTCCAAATCCATTCCTTACTTCATGTACAAAATGCAAATGCAAAGGAAACAGAAGCCACCCATCAAGTCTTTAGGTGGTAAATGAGTACCAGTGCCTACCAGTAGAGACAAAAACATCCTTGTAAATAACAAGAATCTTTAATTTTAAAAAGTAATTCCCCAAACTTTAGGCATTTAGGATTTTTTTTTTTTTCCTGAAACCACAAACACTTGTTTGTTTTAACAAGGTGAGTATAACTGGATTCTGACTGCTTTAGATGAAAATTGTAATTGTGCAGTCACCTGTTTATGTGGTTACTCAACAGCCTGCCTTTTCAGCAAATACATGCACGCATTTTAAGAAAAAAAATTAAACATTTCTGCTGCTTTTACAATTAAGTTTTGGCTCTAATCAAGCAGAAGTGTTTTCTCTAAATATTCTTTAATTTAATGAATTGATCAGCAAAATCTGTCAGCTCTATCTAAAAAAGGCACCCCAAATCTCCCCACTTCTTTTTTTTCACAGCTTTGCATACTATACAGTTCACCCATTTAAAGTGTACAATTCAATTTCTTATAGTATATTCACAGTTATGCAACCACCACCACAATCAATTTTAGAACATTTTCATGACCCAAAGAGACCCCTGTACCACAGCTGTAATTTTCCCCACATCCTCCAGTGCTAGGCAACCACTAATCTACTTTCTGTCTCTATAGATTTGCCCGTTCTAGACATTTCATATAAATGGATGGTGTCCTTTACAGCAAAATTTTTAATTTTTATTGTGCCCAGTGTTTTTTGTTGCCTGTGCTTCTAATGTCATGTCTAAGACCTGTGTTGGTTTTTCAATCCCAGATGTTACAAGACCAAGTGGATGAACTCCAGTCTGAGCTGGAAGAATATCGTGCACAAGGCAAAGTGTTCAGACTTCCCTTGAAGAACTCCATGTCAGAAGAGCTTGATGGTAACAGCGGTGGCATTGAGCCTGACCAGGGTAAACACACTCAGACACCACCTTTCCAGAGTCTCTGCCTTTGACCTTTGTTTTTAGAAGCATAGTTGAATGTAAGATTGCAAAATCTTGGCAAGTTAACAAAAAAAAAAAAAGATTTTGGCAACAGTATTTTCTTGAGCTGTTTCACTTGTGGTCTGTTTTTTAGTTTGTCCTTGAAGTCTTTATGAGAATATTTCCATCTGATTTTGATATGCACCAACAAAGGAATGGAAAAATAAAACCACAAGGGTGTTTGCTCTGTTTAAAAGCAAACAACAAAAACTGGCCAGAAATCTGAGAATCGAGGCCTTTGGAGTATTGGAATGCAGGCATGAACTATTGCTGAATCCTCCCTTTTTAAGAGAGTGGCTAACTGGTACAAAGATGGTTTTGGAGAATGGGCCAGCCAGAAACCACAGAATCCATTACTGTTTTCTTATGCTAGCTCTGCTGAGTGTCTGAGCTGCTTCTGCAGAACAACAAATAAGTAAGGGCTGGTTGCCTGTGCCTTTGAGGAAGATTTTGAGCGGTGAGGTCAGAAGGCAGAGTTGTTTGGGACCCCTCCTACATTCACCAGGAGCCCTTTTCTTCCCTCCTGTAGCCTGTCTCTTTCCTCAGCTGTGTTGACTTTCAATTTCAGAAACCCTAATTAGGGCTTCTAACCAATTTTTCTGTTACAAATAGTTTTCCCCACTGCTATGTGGGGCAGGAATACAGGTTTTTGCAAAGGTTGTTCCCTCACCTAGTAACTAAAATAAATAAGGGATTGGGAAGGGAGAGGAAGAAGCCTTAAGATCTTTTCTCTAACTCTTGGCTCACTTATTGTAGTCTAAGGATGGAGCCCAACTGATGATATATCTCTGTGGCTTTTTCTGGGCTTTTCCATACATGACCAAGTGTTGGGGTGCTCTGCATGGATACATGAAGCTGTACCATCTTGGGGTGCTCACAGACCAGGTATCACTTCTCAGTTGGGGATATGCCCATGATATATGAAGAGAGAGGCCAGAGCAAGACTGCCAATCCCAACTGTTGGACCTAGCCCAAGAAGAGTCCCTTTCTCCCATCTGAAAGTGTCCCCCACATCAACAACTCTTTTGGGTCCCCCCCGCCTTAATGGTTTCTTCATAGGATTACAAATAATCATTTTGTCTATGTACTAGGTCAGCCCCCAACTTATGCTTCACATTTCAACTAATGTCCTTCTCATTAAACATCGTGGGTAGTTACAGAGGTAAACTCATATGGATAAACTGAGAATTTTTACCCTAAACTGCCTATATTCGGGGCTCTAACTTATGGCCTATTTTTAATTTTAGCTGATAATTTAAAATGTAGTTCCACCCACATCCCAGGAGATTCATATCACAGTACCCAGTTGGCTATAATGTTGAGTGAAGCGTTAGATATCGTGACCCATGGAGTTAACTCCTCAAGGCATAGCAGCAAGTGTGCTGCTGGCTGTTCATTCCCCTGACCCATTGCCCCTCTGCTAACTTGTCACTCAGTATTTGTTGGATGGATAAATGGCTGGTTGGTTTGACCAAACTACCTCCCCCTGAGGCATTTTCAGTTGGAGGTCACCTTCAAGCAGCAGTTTCCACACCTACCCTGACCTACTGTTCAAAAAGAGGGATTCTGTTAAGGTTTGATGAATTGCCTGTGTGCAAGGATCTCTTCACCTTCATTTCTTTTTGTTTGCCTAATGCTTGAGAAGGTCCCTGGATGGTGCAAATGGTTTGCGCTCGACTGCTACTCTAAAGGTTGGCGGTGGTTTGAACCCACCCAGTGGTACCGCAGAAGAAAGGCCTGGTGATCTGCTTCCATAAAGATTTCAGGGGAAAAAAAAAAAAAACGCTATGGAGTGGTTCTGTTCTGTGACGTGGGGTTACCATGAGTTGGAATTGACTCGACAGCAACAGTTTTTTTCTTAATCCTTGAGAACAGAAGGGACTTCCGTTGACTTCTTTTGTTTCCTAGTAGATCACATCTGGGGCAATTTAGGCTGAAAATTTTTCCTTAGTTAAACTGGATGTCCCCCCTCAGATGCCAGATTGTGTTATTTGAAGAGCCTGCCACCAGGTCAATGGGTCCCATGTGTTTTCAGGGCTTGGTTCTGAAGAGTGCAATCCACTGAATATGAGCATCGAGGCGGAGCTGGTCATCGAACAGATGAAAGAACAACATCACAGGGACTTGAGTTGCCTAAAACTGGAGCTTGAAGATAAAGTAAGTTTTTCTTGCCAATCTAGTTCTCTAATTTCTTTGAGCTCAAACAGGCTTTTGCCTGTAGGGCATTCCCAGTTCTTTATTTCTCATAGAGCAGTACTTTCTATGCATTTCCTATTGTGTCTAGTGGCCACCAGGAACCCATTTCCTCAGGCTGGTTTCATAGGCGCAGAGTGAGGCCATATCCTTCTGGGAGAGAGTTCCTCCCAATATGTAATATCTTCAGCTCTGGCCACGTGAAACTTGAAGCTTAGAGACCATAACATTATTTTCAGCCTGTTAAAAATATATCTTAATACGCAAACCTGCATCTAAGTAGATGTTTTAGGTTCATACCGAAAAAGTTCTTTGATACAGCGTTAGCTACTAAATTAGATACAAGTTCTGAGTCTTGAAGTCCTAAATCCTTTACCATGTGCTTCAGCTTACGTTTCTAGTCTTCTCTTTCACCATCCCTTTGAGTTAGCTTAGCCTCCAGCCAAACAGGGTAGTTTACTGTTCTCCATTAAACTCTACCCTCTTTTGCTACTGTATCTTTGCTTGAACTATTACTCCTCTGCTTCTTGAAAATCTGCACTCCCCTTCAGAGTTTATATCAACTGTTGCCTCTTTCATTAAACCATTCCTAAATTTCCTCAACCAAATGTGATTTTTTCCCTCATTTGAGTCCCCATTTTACATTGTAGCTCTTTTTTCTGTACCTTTTATGTTTTATATTCTGCTTTGTATTATACTTGCTTGTACTTGGCCATAACCGTGTCTATACTGGTTTCTTCTTCATGGCAGGGACTATGTCTTAACCAACTTTGTGTTCCCATGAGGCCTGCAATGTGCCTGATAGGTGTTCAGTAAATATTTGAATTTAATTAAGTATTTTAAGACCCTAAGTTTGCTGTTTAAAAGGATGCACTGGAAGACAAGTGGTGTGTGTTTGAAGATCTATTCAGTTCTTAATAGAGTTGTTCAGAAACTAATAAAATTCAGTCCAGTTAAAAATGAAAGCAAGCCATGCCTGACTTAAATATGTCTTACTTAAAGTGTTTTTTGAATTAAGTTAGTTTATAAAACAAAAATGGGAAAACTTAGGAATGTCTTATGGGGAAAAAGTACTCCCTGCCCACGTCATCCTCCTTTCCATGGCCTTGGGTTCAATAATCTTGTTGTGGTTTCACTTTTTGATTTTAGGTGCGCCATTATGAAAAGCAGCTAGATGAGACCAAGGTCACCTATGAAAAGGAACAGGAGGGCATGAAGCAGAAGTATGAGGATGAAATACACACCTTGGAAAAGCAAATCAGTGGCCTTAAAAATGAAATTGCAGAACTTCAGGAGCAAGCAGTGGTGCTAAAGGAGACACAACACAAGACTACCTGCAGACACCAGGAGGAGAAAAAACAACTGCAAATGAAGTTTGATGAGGAACAGACTCATCTGCAGGAAAAGCTAAGACTGCAACATGAAGTAGACCTCAAGGCTAGACTGGAACAGATAGAGGAAAGCTTTAACCGAGAGAGGGACGGACTGATTCATAAAGGCGCCTGGGCAGAAGAGAAGGTGAGAGACTTAACCCAGGAGCTAGAACAGTTTCACCAGGAGCAGCTGAAAAGCCTGGTGGAGAAGCATACCCTAGAAAAAGAGGAGTTGCGAAAAGAGCTCTTGGAAAAACACCAGAGGGAACTTCAAGAGGGAAGGTAAGAAAATGAGAGGAAGTGGAGCAGCCTGGGGCATCATCTCTCAGGACACCAGAAGTTCCAGTCAGTTAAGGAGACTTTGAAAACTCAGAAGGCATAATAGTCCATTGATTGACTAGATTCTTTTTTAATTTTTCAGCATGCTTTGCCATTGCTTAGCCATCAGCCTACCTTGGGGTTTACTGGAACTATGTGTTTTTGTTGCTGTTGCTTTGAAAAAAAAAAAGGAAAGTATTTATTGTATCAAACTTACTGTATCTTATAAGGCTCCAGATAAGGATAAGATTATCCCAAACATGGTTCCTTCCTAGTTCAGTCTTATTGTTTTCTGAGAAGGGCTATTTATAAGCTGGATTCTGGGCAAAGTTACATTTCCTCCCAGAATTATGAAACAGCACTTTGTGCTTACCTTCCTCACACGAAACCCCAGTTACATTTGAGGGCATTGGTGCTTTATACTCTATTAACTGGATGCTGCTTTATTAAGTAAGAAGCGAAAGCAAAATGAATTTCTTAATATGTGTGGTTTATATAACTAATATCCTACCTTATTTAAAGGTAGGATGTTGTTACCTTAATTAATCACTTAATTAAAATGAAAGAATTTTATGTATTTCCCAAGTTAGGGGTTAGGTTAATATGTGTTTGATCATTGAATGTGAAATATCAGTTTAAGTCTTAGGCTAAAAATCCAGTACATATATATTTGCGAATATGCCAAAGAATTTGGTTTCTAAATTTTTCCCCTGAATGGCAGAAAGAGGTGATTGTGTTCTTCTAAGTTAATTTTAGCTGCCAGTTTTAGCTCTCAGAAATGAGATACATTCCCAGTATACATGAATCACATAGGAATATGTGAAGACAGTTTTTAGAAAGTGTTTAAATTGTTTGCTTGGCAGCCTCTTCTATGCATGCATGGTAAAATGTTTTTTGTTTGCTTCTGGAGTTGGCAGCAGTTTCAGTAATGCTGTATGTTGACCACATTTAGGGAAGAAATGGAAACTGAGTGTAATAGAAGAACCTCTCAGATAGAAGCCCAATTTCGGGCTGATTGTCAGAAAGTCACTGAGAGATATGAAGATGCTCTGCAAAGCCTCGAGGGGCGCTATCGCCAAGAGCTGAAGGACCTCCTAGAACAGCAACGTGAGGAGAAATCCCAGTGGGAATTTGAAAAGGATGAGCTCACCCAGGAGTGTGCAGAAGCCCAGGAGCAGCTTAAAGAGACTCTTCAAAGAGAGAAAGCAACTTCTCTGGTCCTGACCCAGGAGAGAGAAATGCTGGAGAAAACATACCAAGAACATTTGAACAGTATGGTTGTTGAGAAAGAGCAGCTACTCAAAGACCTGGAGGATCTAAAAAATGTGTCTGAAAGTCAGCAAAGCCTACTGTCCAACCAGATACTTGAGCTGCAGAGCAATCACGAAAGAGAGCTGAAGGACTGTGAGCAGGTCCTGTGCCAGGCAGGGGCCTCGGAGCAGCTGGCCAGCCAGCGGCTTGAGAAGCTAGAGATGGAACATGAGCAGGAAAGGCATGAAATGATGTCCAAGCTTCTGGCCATGGAGAGCATCCATAAAGAGACCTGTGAGAAAGCAGATCGAGAGAGGGCCGAGATGAGCACCGAAATCTCCAGGCTTCAGAATAAATTAAAGGAAATGCAGCAGGCAGTATCATCTCTCTCCAGGCTTGAGAGTGGCTGCCAGGCAATGGGAGTGGGGGAGGCAGAAGGAAATGGCACCATGTCACTGCTGCAGCAAGGGGAGCAGCTGTTGGAAGAAAATGGAGACGTCCTCTTAAGCCTGCAGAGAGCTCACGAGCGAGCAGTGAAGGAAAATGTGAAAATGGCTACTGAAATTTCTAGGTTGCAGCAAAGACTGCAAAAATTAGAGCCAGGGTCAGTAATGTCTTCATGTTTAGATGAACCAAGTACTGAATTTTTGGGAAATTCTCTGGAACAAACAGAGCCATTTTTACTGCAAAACAGAATGAAGCGAATAGAAGATATAACCAAGAAGCGTGTCCTAAGTGACTTGCAAGATGATGAGACCCGGGATCTGGGAAGTACAGACACGAGCTCTGTTCGGAGGCAGGAGGCCAAAATAGACTCTGAAGCATCAATAGAGAGTTTTTCTGAGCTTGAAAATAGTGAAGAGACCAGAGCTGAGACCTGGGACCTAAAGATTCAGATTAGTCAGCTTCAGGAACAACTAACAATCTTACGTGCCGACTGCGACCGAGCTTCTGAAAAGAAACAGGACCTTCTTTTTGATGTGTCGGTGCTTAGAAAGAAACTAAAGACACTTGAGAGAATCCCTGAGGCTTCTCCCAAGTATAAGTTGTTATATGAAGATGCTAGTAGAGAAAATGACTGTCTTCAGGAAGAGCTGAGACTGATGGAGACCCACTATGATGAAGCACTTGAAAATAACAAAGAACTGACTTCAGAAGTGTTCAGATTGCAGGAAGAGCTCAAGAAAGTTGAGGAAGTGACTGAGACATTCCTTAGCCTGGAAAAGAGTTATGATGAAGTCAGAGGAGAAAATGAGGAGCTGCATGTTCTAGTTTTGAGACTTCAGGGAAAGATTGAGAAGCTGCAGGGAAGATCAGTGCTGCAGTGTGACTGCCTCTCATTATGGGAAGCCCATTTAGATAACCTGCAAGCTGAACCTGATGAAAAGGTACTTGAACTAAATCAGACGCTGGAAGAGTGTGCGCCAAAGGTTACAAATGCACACCATATTATAGAAGAACATAAGCAAGAAAACCAATACCTTGAGCAGGAGAATACACGAGTCCTGGAAAAACTAAAAGCACATGAAGTTGCTTGGTTACAAGGAACAATTCAGACACATCAAGAAAAGCCAAGAATACAGAACCAAGCTATACTGGAAGAAAACACTGCCCTTCTAGGCCTTCAAGACAAACACTTTCAGCGTCAGGCCACAATAGCAGAATTAGAGCTGGAGAAAAAAAAGCTACAGGAGCTGACTAGAAAGTTGAGGGAGAGAGTCACTGCTTTAGTTAAGCAAAAAGATGTACCTTCTCAAGGAGAAAAGGAGGAAGAGCTGAAGTCAATGATGCTTGACTTGCAAAGCACGTGCAGTGAGATGCAGCAAAAAGTTGAACTTCTAAGGTAATGTATGTACCTTCTAAGCTTCACGGAATCCCACAGAGCACCTCACCAAATCTAACTTCCGCTGTTTGCTGAGCCTAGAGAAACTAACCTGTTAGTCTTCAAGAAGAAAGCAGTCCTGTAGACTTCTTCTGCTTCTGTGTTGCATTAACAAGTAGAATAACCTTGCCAAGGAGGTATTCCCTTCCTCTGTAGGAAATAAATGTTGTTCTCGTGGGGTGTGCAAGTTCATGATGGCAAATGTTTGCTGTTTAACCATATGCATCATCAACGCATGTCATGTCTTTAACTCTTTTCTAGCACTTACTTCATTTGGATGAATAGATGGCTTTTTTCTTTTAGCTAAACATTTTCTCATTTTGGTGTAACATTGTATGTGAATGAAATGCCATTTGTGTATTATTAACTCAGTCGGTAGATAAGAACTCTTCTTATACTAATACATGAAAAATTTTGTGTTTTTGTGGCTTATAATTTTTCACTTACATCACTTGAAGTACATGCTAATATCCTGCAAACAGTGGAAATTTATCTTAGAATATATAATTTTATTGAAGCACTACCAGAGTCTAATAAACGTGCTTGAAGAATAAATACAAAATGAAACTAATTTGAACCATTTGACTTTATAAAATACAATTGCAGTACTCTTCTAGCAAATTTCATATTTAAAAAATATGTAAAATATTACTTCATGTCTAAAATATCTGAATGATATAAAACAAAAATAATTTAATTCTAAATGTAGTTTTTCCTCCTCATGCTTCAGACCATATTTAGATCTAAAACCCAAAATATACAATGAAATGAAAAAAATTGCAAGTAATTAGTAGTGTACATATTTCAATGTGACCTTTGATTTATGCAGTGAAATGTCTTTTTCTAGGTACCCTTGGTCTAAAATTAAAGCTAATACATGTTTGTAATGTATAGTATTATGGCTTATATCAATTCACAGTAGGTAGGACTTGAGTCATTTGCTGAAAGCAATATGCTTGCTATTGAGAAAATCAACAACCAGAGTGGGCATTCCTGTCTCCATGCTCAGGTTTCTCAGCCATACTCACCTAACATCTTTAAGTAAAACTCTTACAACCCAAATGAAATGAGTCCATATGCCGTACCCCAGTGTCCAAGTACTAAAAGACTACTAATTTAGACTTTTCTTTTTAACTGGCATGGAGTACTTGTTTTATTGGAAGTCACTAGAAAGTATTTTCCAAAGATGCCAGATGACTGTCTTGTAACATTTTTTTTTAAATCTCTATACTTCAGATATGAATCTGAGAAACTTCAAGAGGAAAATTCTATTTTGAGAGACGAAATTACTAGTTTAAATGAAGAAGATAGCATTTCTAACCTGAAATTAGGGAAATTAAATGGATCTCAGGAAGAAATGTGGTGAGACATATACTTAAATTTTCTTAAGAGGATTTTGTAAGAACTAAAACCGTTTTACTTCAATTTTTAAAGCCTAACTCGTAAATCATATTTTCATCATCCCTTTAGGAAAAAAATAGAAACTGTAAAAAAGGAAAAAGATGTTGTTCAGAAGATGGTTGAAAATTTAAAGAAACAGGTAAGGAGATATTTAACATTTCCCATTGTTCATGGATTCTAAAATTTACTTTTTTTTTATTTGAAATTTACAAATGTACAGAACATGCTACTAGGATAACATAGCACATGATGGTGAGATTTTTACAAAATCCTCTGTAGAAAATTTAAGTATATGTCTTACCACATTTCTTCCTGAGTTTGAAAATGGGAATTCATCTCATGCTGACTCTAAACTAGGTTTCTATATTTTGTTAAATTTCATATATATTGTTTCTGGACCCTGTGTGCTTAATATAGGTTTCATAAGGGGGGGGGGGTGAGAACACACCTCTAAAACCATATCTGTAAAATATTAGCTCTGTCCCTCATGCAGTTTGGTGGAAGAGTAGAAAGATCACCGTCTTAGAAATAAGATGTCTCAAGGGCTAATCTCACTGCCTGAGAGTTACCATTCGGTGAGTGTTAACCCCTTCTCCTTCGCTCATCGTGACTGAAAGCACAAAGTTAGGGATGGAATTTCACAGATATAGAATGCTAGTTAATCAGTATATCAGTTCACAGAATTATGATTTATTTATTCAGGCAGCTTGGGCCATTCAACGCCCAATTCGTATAATCTCATAACATGTAATTGTGCAAGGGAAGGAGATTTAAGAATCTGTCTGAAATAAGCCAAAGGACAAGGACATATGGGGAAAAAGAGTATTTTCAATACTTGATATGGATAAGGTATTAACATCCAAAATATATTTTGTGTTCTTAAAAATAAATGGCAAACCCAGTTGAAAAATGGGCAATCAACATGAACAGTCCAGTCAGAAAAAGAGAATACAACATATAAAAGCATGATGAGTCACATTAGTGATTGGAGAAGTGCAAATTAAATGAGTTTCTATTTTTCACCTATCAAATTGGCAGAAAAATAAAGATTAGTATCGTGGTATTAGCAAGGTGTGAGGAAAAGTGCAGTCACACACTATTGATAGGATTATAAAATGGTACCACTTGTGGGAAAGACATTTTGGTAATATCTATCAAAATTGTAATGTATGTGCATACCTTCTAACCCAGCAATCCAACTTCTAAGAAATTATCCTAAAAACAAAATGCTACCATGTATAGAGGTATTTTCCAAATTTTTACTTTGTTTAATCATAATTAAAAGAAAAATAACAAGCCTATATGTCTGTCAGTGTAGGAATGGATAAATGCATTATGGAACATCTTGATACAGTGGAATACTTACTGTATGACCATTTTTTTAAAAAAAAATCAGGTAGTAGTTTCTGAATATATTGACTTGGAAAGAAAAATGTCTGTGAGACATTGTAAGTGGATAAAGCAGGCTGCCAAAACGTGAAATCTAAATTTTTGTTAAAAAGAAGAAGAAAAGAATCCATATGTGTATATGGGTTTTTATATATGCAGAGAAAATTATCTGGAGGGATACGTGCCCAGCTGTGAACGGTGAATACCTCTGTGGGGTGGAATTGGACTGAGTGTTAACACTTCTTCATATACTTCCAAATCGATTTAATTTGTAATAATGAGCATGTATAATTTCTCTTATTAAAACTACACAGAGAGAAAAAATAGTCTCTAAATCTGTGTTTTAGCAGAAGTGGGATAACCAGTTTTTTAAACTTATTTAAATTTTAATTAGATTTCAGAATTAAAAGCCAAAAACCAACAGTTGGATTTGGAAAATACAGAACTTAGCCAAAAGAACTCTCAAAATCAGGAAGAATTGCAAAAACTTAATCAACGTCTGGCAGAAACGCTATGCCAGAAAGAAAAAGAGCCAGGACACAGTACATTTGAGGAATGGGAACAAGAAAAGTCTAATCTGACAGAAGAACTGGAAAATTGTAAACTGCAGGTATGGTCTATAGCCACCCTATAGTTTTTCTTGAGGAAATCCCAAGAAGTAGAAGAAACACTTATATTAAATTTCTTATACAAAAAGCCTCAGTAATTAAAACACTGTGGTACTGGCACATGAATCAACAAATAGATCAGTGGAATAGATAGTCTAGAATTAGACCCGAAAACATATGGAATCTTAGTAAAATAGAGGTAGCTTCTCAAATCACTGGAGTAAAGATAGACTTTTTAATAAGTGGTGCTAGGACAACTAGATAGTCATTTGAAAAGAGGTAAAATTAGGTCTATACCTTATACCATATGTAAGAATGAATTCCAAATGAATTAGGAATGTAAGTATAAAAAATAATACAAGTGCCAGAAAAAATATTGGTGAATTCTCCTTTAACCTTGGTGTAGACAGAAGCTCTCTAATTACGATTCAGGAACCAGAGGCAATAAAAGATTGATAAATTTTACTACATAATTATTAAAAAAGCAAAATCTGCATGACAAAAAATAAACAATGTCAAAAGACAGCTAACAAACGGAGAGAAAATATTTGCAACATATACCACAAACAAATGGCTAATATCCCCATTATACAAAGAACTGTTAAAAATTGAGGGACATAGGACCAAAAACCCTGTAAAAGTATGGGAAAAGCACACGAACAATTCAAGGAAAAAAAAAGATATTAAATGGCCCTCAAACCTGTGATAAAAACATTCAAAATCACTCATAATTAGATAAAAACAAATTTAAACAACACTGAGATATTATTTCTCACCTGTTAGACTGGAAAATTTTTTAAATATGACAACACATTTTGTTGATGAGGCTGTGGGAAAACAGGCACTTTCATACATTCCTGGTAGAAACGCAAACTGGTACAGTCCATCCTTCTGGAGGGAAATTTGGCAATACCTAAGAAAACTACATATGTACTTACATTCCAACCCAGCAATTCCACTTCTAGAAATCTACTCTGAAGATAACACCTCTAACAATATGAAAATGTATATGCTGGAGGTTATTCATTGCAGTATTGTTTGTAATTGCAAAATAGCGGAAACAATCTAGATGCCCATACATAGGAGAGTGGTTGGATAAACTATGGTCCATCCACACAGTGGTGTGCTATATATCTGTAAAAAAAAGAATGAGGAAGATCTTTATGAATTGACATATAGTGATTTCCAAGGTATAACTATTAAGTGAAAAAGGCAAAGTATAATATGCCTATAGTATGCTTCCCTCCGTGTAAGAAAGAAGAGGACATAAGAAAATATGCATGTGTCTGCTCATTTGAACAAAGGAATACAAGAATGATAAACCAGAAACTAAAGGGATTGGTTGCCTATAGGGGGTGGGTGAGAAAGAAATTTAAAAAAGTAGGGGAATGGGAATGGGGTAGAAGAAATGAGGAAGGGAGTGACACTTCTCTGATAATACATTTTCATTTAGTTCTGGCTCTTAGGACCATGGTAATGTTTCACATACTCCTAAAATAAACAGTCAAAACCAACCAAGATGTGGGAGGATGCCAAAATGGAATACAAACACTAACTTATGAATCTAACTGTCTCATAAATGGATACTATAACCACACTAAAGGGGTGGGTAAGAAAATAACTAAGCCATTTATAAAATAGTACCTTGACTGGATACTGTAGGGATAAAAGACAAAAAGAACTGTATATATATACTGTAATCTAGGCAGTAAATGTGTTTCTCATGGGGGTGTACATTAGCAACTCTAAAAGTATGTGACTACTAGAATTGAACAAATATATACACTGTAGACAAGAAGAACTGGATTTCTCACTGTTGGAGAAGGATGCTACAAGTGAGGAAAGAGGAAAGGCCAAAACGAACCCTGTGATCTTGGATTGGAATCCGAAGTGTCAGTATAAATTCATGGTTTTAAATAGATATACAGGTAGGTAGATACAGAAATACAGATGTGTGGATGCGTATAGGTTAGTGTACATATATTTCTCAACTCTGTCCATTGAGAGGGCCTAGAAGCAATGACACTGCAGTAGTAATGAAAGTATCTGTAGCGCCCAGATCTTGGTTTCTAAATACCATTCTCCTGTAAAAGGAACCAGGACTTCTTGGAAATGTGATTGATTCCAGGGATGGGGCAGGGAAAATACAAGATCAACCTGGAACATCTTATGGTGCCTGAAAGTAAGGACGTGCTTAAAAGAAAAAAATGGGGGCATGTTGAAAGGACACAGGCCCCAACCTGAAGGAGCTCCCAATGGTCAAAACTGTAGTAATTTGAGCAATAAAATAAATAATGATAATATAGAATAAGATAAATATAAATATAAAATTTAAAATAAATATAGAATAAAATATCTATGAGTCCATACTGATATAAAAATTGATTAAATAAAATGGAGGAGAAATGACAGCTCTTTCTTACAATAGAGTTCAACTAATAAATGTAGAAAGAAAAAAGGAAATAGAAAATCGTCATTAGACAAACAGTAATAACTGTTGTAAGAAAAATCCACTGAATTACACTAAAATTAATGATCAAAAGTTGGGGAAGAAATAGGCTTTGCATAGTCTCAAAGTATCTCCTCCAAGGTGTTTATTAACTACAAAGAGAAAGATAGTAACTTGACAGTGGAGAAAGCTGCAAAAACTACCTTAGAAATCCTGTTCATGCCAGTTGAGTGGAGAACCTTTTAAAGGATAGCTTTGGTTAGTTCCCTTGAGTATAAGAACAAACGGTCGTAAGACAGCGTGCCCTAGAATTTGCATTAGTGTTTCCTTAATATCACCTTTTGTGAACCTGATAAGTTTTCCCCAGCCCTGATGAATATGTCCATTGTTTCACTTTTATTTTTCTCTTAGTCTTCCACTTTAGTCTCTTCCCTGGAGGCAGAACTTTCTAAAGTTAAAATACAGACCCATATTGTGGAACAGGAAAACCGCCTTCTCAAAGAGGAACTGGAAAAAATGAAACAAGTAAGGCTGTGTGCTGTTCAGGGGGTGTTCACAGAGCAATATGTACCCAATGGTCTGATTTTTCTAGCCACCAAATGTCCTTCTTACTGAGCCCTGTGACTATAGTTTTTTTGCTTAGTATGGTTGAAGACTTGAAATACAAATCTGTTTGTTATGACTACTATTGTTAATTCTCTAAATATTGTTGTAATCATGTAACTTATACATGTTTTAGACTCTAAAATTCTATTGCTAGAAATGAATCACAACCACTTGAATTTAAGAAATTTGTTATTCTCCTTTCTCCCTGCCAGATAACAAAGTCATACAAGTTTGTCTAAAATGAGGGTGACCTTCTTGCCCTTTCCTTTCACAACTCTGTTCACGCATGTTTGTGAGACACAGGTGAAACTGTTCTCTCTTAAGTCTTATAGCAAGTATGAGGCATCTGTCTTAGGCATATGGGTAAATTCTAGAGCATTATCAGGGATGCTGCCTCACTTATGAATTTGGCTTTAAGGATCCTATTTCAGAGTTTCAAGCAAGTTTTTATTTTTTAAATAATATTTTATTGTGTTTTCTGTGAAAGTTTACACAGCAAATTAGGTTCCCAGCAAAGGTTTAATTTTAAGTATAAAAGAAGGTTTATTTTAAAATTATATCCTGAACCTCGTCCTATTTTACTCTTAGTTAATTTTCAAATAGAACAACTATCTTTATTTGAGCAATCCTGATTTATAGTAGAATTTAGTTGTTTCATTTGATTTATTGGCTTCACCATAGACTTCCTTTAATTATTATGGCATCCTTAGATTATAGGCTGCTAACCAAAAGATCGGCAGTTTGAATCCATCAGACACTCCTGGGAAACCCTATGGGGCAGTTCTACTCTGTCTTACAGGGTCACTATGAGTCAGAATTGACCCTACGGCAACGGACTTGGCTTGGGCTTTGATTATAAATTCTGTTTCTTGTATCTGCTCAGTCTATAAGCATAAAGGTATCCTTCCCTGAATGCTGAAACATTTAGAGTCTGTATGACCTAGTGTCATATTTACGTCAATATCTAATTAACTCGTATAAATCTTGCTTTCCTGAGAGAATTTTAAGATTCTCAGAGTATTTGTGTCTCCTGTAATACCTAGTACAGTACTGGTACCCAACAGGTGCTTTATAAGGAACTTTCCAAGTTGAATACTGTTATGCGAAGTATCTGCTCTGCCATAATTAGAGAAGGTATCTGTTCCATATAAACATGCCAGAGGTTAAAACTCATAGGATCCTTTTGTGGTGTATAAATATTTCAAAGCTCTTATTAATGAGTTTATCCTGATTAACCTGGGCATACTTTTTTCCTTTACCTTTTGAAAGTCTGTTGTTCAACCTTTAAAAGCATGGGAAATGTGTGCTTTGTGACTTTGCAAAGCTAGAGAACAGAAGGAAAGGGACAGAGTTGTGAGTAGAAAAAGATGATGAGAACATCATTCAGCACATTTTTATTGCACATTCTTTACAGAGGTGTTAGTGTAAATAGTGAGACGGAAAAAGCAATGAGCCCTTCCTGCCTTGTTTCATCAGGCACCTGGACTCTTGGATCACAAGGGTAGGATAGTGTCAGCCCATTGTTGCTGCCACACAGTTTGGAGCTCAAAAGCATATATCACGCTGTAAGGCATAATGATTTATTGTTCACAAAGTATTTTTACACATTTATCACACTGAAAAGAAACACAAATAGCATCAGCAGAAGTCACATGCTAGGCTGTAGACACCCAAAATAGTATCAGGCTTTGCAGGATAGTGGGTAAGGAGAAGGCTCTGTATTAAACCAGTGCCCAGGTACTTTAAAATCCATTTTCTCATACCCTTCTGACTTGTTCCAATTTACCAGGCATGCTGGATTTGTTGCCAATTGAAGACAAGATTCAGTCCTTACGGTCTATTTTGTCATACTATTCCTAAACCTAAATGTAAAAGAACTTAAGGTAGGAAGTGGAAAGATGGCCATAAAATCAAAATGATAATAAAGAATTGAAAATTTTAAAGGCAAGTGAAATGGAGGAAAATAAAATAGCTTATAAACTATGGGAAAGGGTTAAGAAGCATAAGAAATAGTCTCTTTAACGCGGTGGTTCTCAACTGGGGCAGGGTGGAGGCAGGATTTTGCGACTGGTTCTACTAGCTGATCAGAATGCTCCTTAGAGGTGAGACTTCAGTGCTCTTTGGACACATTATCAGGAAAGACCAATCACTGGAAAAGGACATCATGTTTGATAAAGTAGAGGGTCAGAGAAAACGAGGGAAACCCTCAGTGAGATAGATTGACACAATAGCCACAACAATGAACTCATACCAATGACCACAAAGATTGCACAGGACCAGCCAGTGTTTCGTTCTGTCATAGCTGTGATCACCATGAGTCGGAGCTGACTCCACAACAACTGGCAACATGCTACTGGCGGCTAGTAGGCAAAGCCAGGGAGAATGCTAAGCATCGTACAATGCATAGGCCAGCCCTCACAACAAAGAATTATCCAGCCCAATATGTCAGCAGTGCAGAGGATGATGCTGGAAAGGATCAGAAACAGTCTTTGCTTTGCCTGATTCTATAAAGCGGGAAGGAGGAAGCCAGTGTGTTTACACCAGCAACTTTTAACTGGCAAGTCAATTTCGGCATCTTCCAAAGGGAAGGGAGCATGAAGCAAGGTGAAAACACTGAATGTTTTATCTTCAAATGTGCCCTTATGTCAATGTGATTCAAACCAATTTTATATTCTTGACTGAGAATTTTGAAAATGATTTTTCTAGTTAAAAAAGCACAAGGAAGATGTATTATGCTTTATGTGCGTAAGTTAAGTTGATGACAGTATGGCTATGTGTTAGTTTACCCTGAAGGTTAAAGAAAAAAAAAAAAAACTAGGACCATTTTTTTGACATTGTCTGTCTGGTTGAATCTATCTGAGCAGATGTTTCAGCCTTCAACTGGGGAGCTGGGGAAAGCCAGCAGGGAACATTTTGTTAAAGTTAATTATAGTCCCCTAGAGTTTATATGTCATCTGAAGTTTCTACAGATAGGGAAATAGCAGCAGACATGAAAATGTCCTGTTTATAAATACAGCCACAAGATATGATGGGAGGGCTCATTTGTTTTATCTCTTACAGCTGCACAGATACCCTGATCTCTCTGACTTCCAGCAAAAAATTTCTAGTGTTCTAAGCTGCAATGAAAAACTGCTGAAAGAAAAGGAAGCTCTAAGTGAAGAATTAAGTAGCTGTATTAATAAGGTAGTAAAAATAATAAGACATTTTACCACTGTTGTATAAAATGCATCATAATGAGCAGTTCTCTGTGGCCAGTGCCACACGGGCCTCCCGTTAGCCTAATTGTTCCCTAGTCTCCTGGAACAGCGTTTCAGCTGGCACTACGTGAGCCTAGATCTCCTGAAGCTGTGATTTGACAGGAATCTAATTAGTTGTTTAATAATCATATTATTAAATATAATAACAAAGTTTGTCTCATTTTAATATATCACAAAACTACTTAATATATACATATAATGCTATTTATATATACCACTATATTGCTTACATATAGTAAGATAAATATTATTGTATTTAATAATCTGACATCTGTTTCATAGACTAGCACTTTTTTTCCTATAGTATTTTCTATAGGAAAAAACTGTTTTTTCCTTCCTGCTTTAATGGGCATTCTGTATACTCCTGTTAAGGTACACTCTTGAGATTTCTAATTGCCTTTCAGCCCGCCATCTCCCACTCTCGAAATATGAGGCAGTGAGAAAGAAAAATGGAAATCCCAAAAGAAAAGAGACTCCTGAAAATTAGGTAGAACGAGGAGTCAGGAAGATGTCTCTCCTTTCTGTTACCTTGCCCTGCTTGCCCATTTACTAGATGGCACTTGATCTTGCCAGTACAAATGGAGGCATACAAATTGGGGCTAGATACTTTTGCAAAAATGGTCTCTTACCTCTTTTCTCTTTCTGAAACAGTTGGCAAAATCAAGTCTTTTAGAGCACAGAATTGCTACTATGAAGCAGGAACAGAAGTCTTGGGAGCACCAGAGTGAAAGCTTAAAGGCACAGCTGGTGGCTTCACAGGGAAAGGTATGTGGACAAGTCTTGTTTCATCTTCACAGTTAGTATTCTCTACCTTTCAGCAGAAACTCCAGTCGAAAAAACATTCCAGGTGGAAGTAGCCTAAGAGAAGAGGGCTCAGAATGATGGCTTTGTCAGTTTGACTAATATTTGACACATGTTTACGGGATAGTGAAATAACTTGAACAATATTTCCCTCAAAGTTTAGTAATTATGAGATTAGATATTTATGAAAGCTTGAGAAAAGTGTATAAAAATGGCTGCTTGTTCCTAATTTAGAAATACAGTTTTCTAAGGCAGGTTTATGCCCTATTATAGTTAAAGATCTTCAATCAACATTCCTTTTTAAAATTTAAATTAAAGAAAATTGAAGTTTATATGAAATACCAGGTATTAGCATGAAGTAGGGTTCAACGAGTATATATTTTTATTTTCAACTAAGTGTTCCTTTACATACCATCAGCACAGGCTAAAACATCATTTCTACCAAATTCAGTAAGACCATTTTCTGTGATGCCACTTGGAACTTGTTGGTTCTATAAGATATCACTTTGTAATCCACCAGATGACTATATCAGCAATACCCTGCACCACGCATCATTTGTCATTATCCTAAGTATAATTTACTATCCTACATGTTATTAAATTAAACATAGGTTTCCACTGAGCTACTGAAAAGAAAACTGGATTTAGTAAGTAAGAACAAAATGGACCTTGGAGTGCTCTTGTCCTCATTCGTTCCTACACATTGTATAGGTGAGACCATGAGGGTTTGGGTAGGAGTGTAAGATTGTTCTCATGATGCAGGTTCAAAGTTTAGAAGATACCCTACAGAATGTGAATCTGCAGATGTCCCGGATTAAATCTGACCTACGGGTGACTCAGCAGGAAAGGGAGACTTTAAAACAAGAAGTGATGTCTTTACATAAGCAACTTCAGAATGCTGGTGACGAGGTAATTTCTTTTTTATTTTGAGGTATAACTTACATGTAATAGAGTGTACAAATTTTAAGTGTATAACTTGATCATTTTTATATGTACACATACATAAATGTACAATACTTTACATATATGTATGCATATATATGTATATATATATGAGGAGCCCTGGTGGTACAGTGGTTAAGCCCTCAGCTGCTAATCAGAACATTGGCAGTTAGAACCCACCAGCTGCTCTGCAGGAGAAAGATGTGTCAGTCTGCTCCTGCAAAGATTTACAGCCTTGGAAACCCTGTGGGGGCAGTTCTGCTGTGTCTGCTCTGTTTAAGGTTGCTATGAGTCAGAACTGACTCGACAGCAATGGGTTTGCTAGGGTTTGCTCTGTGTGTGTGTGTGTGTGTGTGTGTGTGTGTACATATATATATGGTGTGTGTGTGTGTATATATATATTATATATATATACTGTGTGTGTGTGTGTGTGTGTGTGTGTGTGTATATACACACACACATACTTTTAGCCACTTAACCACTTTTCTATCCTCTGCAACCAGAGGTTAGGGTTACCTGTTTCTAAAGTGTGTATAAATGGAACCATAATAGCAAGGTAATTTTTATACTGAGAGAGAAGACCATGCTGAGTTGAGTTTTGTAGTAATAAAAATAAAACATTTTCTTAGTTAAGAAATAGAATATAAAAGCATTCATGTAGCCCTAACAAATTAGAAATCAAGGAAAACATTGCAAGAAATCAATCTAGGAACATGCACACACGCACAAAGGCTGCACAAAAGTAAAACTACTGAAAAGGAAAACTATGGCATAAAACAATATAGAATTTCAGGAGGTGATTCATTGTCACCAGACGGGTCATTGCAATGATACCAGAAAGTCCAGGAATTGCTGGTGAAAGTGTTAGCTGGCTGACATGTTATGGTGATGTTCTAGAAAGGGTGTCTCATTTTAATATATTACAATGCTGCTTAATGTCTTCTCAAATAAATTCATAACAGTGTCATGGGTATCAGCCTTGGGATAGATGTTAAGATTTTGTCCTACAATAAAAATAGTCAATAATTCAGTTATTTGATTTTTTTTTTTAAACCATGGTTTATTTTTACTGAGATAGTTGTTTCCTTTTTCAAAATTACTTCTGGGCTGACATTTTTCTCAAAATGAGATTATACCTTTTTTCCTTTCCATGTTTTGACTTAAAAAACAGGAGGCTTATATAGTTGTTACCTTTTTTATTTTCTTAAGCATTTTTAGGATCAAAAGAAATCATTTTGGTAGGAATATACTTAAAAGTATATCCTTGAATTCAGACCTCAATCCATGGACAGTATATTCTCTGGATTCTAAAAAAAGGAGATGATTGCATATGTGAAACTGAAAGTAGAGTTTAACTTGTGACAGTTTTCAAGTGGACAGCACACTTCAGAGTTCCCTTGTGTCCTCTGTTAGCCAAAAGAGTAGTTCTCTAGGTTCAAAACATAACCTCGTGAAAATGAGGCAATTTTTAATGCCACCAATCTGTATGCACTTGAATCCCATATGGACCTGGAACTTAACTCTGCAGTCATCTTTGCTAATGAATTTCGGGACTGTTTTGCTAAAGACCATTTTAAATGGAGAATTTCTAAGCCTTTTTTTTTTTTTTAACCTAACTCCAAGTATATTGCTTTATTTATATCTATATATACATACAAGGAGCCCTGGTGATGGCAGTGGTTAAAGCACTCAGCTGCTAACCAGGTCAGCAGTTTGAATCCACCAGCTGCTCTGTGGGAGAAAGATGTGGCAGTCTTCTTCGGGAAAGATGTATGGCCTCGGAAACCCCATGGGGCAGTTCTACTCTGTCCCATAGGGTTGCTATGAGTTGTAATCGACTCAGTGGCAGTGAGTTTGTTTTTTTTTTGGTATATATACATATACATACTCCCGTTAGAAGAGAAAGAAGGTTGAATGGTGCTAAGAATTGTTGTCATTAGGTAAATATGACACCTTTCTCAAACCAGAAATTACCCATCAGCCTGTGTTTAAGACTTACCTCTGCAATTCTCTCTTAAGAACTGGGCCCCAGAAATAGCTACACATCCGTCAGGGTTCCATAACCAGCAGAAAAGGCAGTCTTGGGACAAGTTGGATCATTTGATGAATGAGGAACAACAGCTGTTTTGGCAGGAGAATGAGAGACTCCAAACCGTGGTGCAGAACACCAAAGTGGAACTCACACACTCCCGGGAGAAGGTGACTTGAAAATTGTACATGGTGGCATATGTTTGAAAATTATTTGTTTGATATGAAAATGAGTGTTTGATATAATTGAAATGGTTCTAGGGTATGAATTTGAGTATTCTGCTATGGCAGACTTACTTTAAGAATATGTAATTTATCATTTATGTATGTATGGTTTTATCCTGATATGTTTATAAAACATTTTTCATTTTGTATAAGCATCTTGTCTGTGCTTTTAATCTTCATATCCAAAATATAGACTCATGGAAATTATGTTAACCATATATTTCTCATTCAAATTGCCTAGCTGCCAAGACTAGCAATACAAAATAGAAAAACTAGACGCAGATCTTACTGGTCTAATTCCTTGTATAAAAAAAAAAAAAAAAAAACAGTTGCTATCAAGTCAGTTCCCACTCGCAGCAACCCCATGTGTATCAGAGTAGAACTGTGCTCCATAGGGTTTTCAGCGGCTGATTTTTCAGAAGTAAATTGCCAGGCCTTTCTTCTGAGGCACCTTTGGGTAGGCTCAAACCTCCAACCTATTGGTTAGCAGCTGAATGTGTTAACAGTTTGTACCACCCAGGGACTCCCTGTCTGAGGAAAGGGTCCCATTTTTAAAGACTAGCATTTAAAGGTTAGAATGGTCTTTAAAGGTCATCTTTTCTAACCACCAAACTGATAACGTAAATTCTCTTTACGAAGTACTTAACCAACTATGTTCAACCTATGCTTGAACACCTCTTTTGAGAGGAGTTCTAACCCTGAAGAGTCATGAATATTCATTCAGGACACCTGCTCTGTGCCAGAAAGTCTGCTATAACTGAAGCGGCAGTAGTGAACAAGACAGACGTGGTCCTTGTCCCACGGAACATAATTGATGTAAATGCATTATTTCAGGTGTGACTAGCCCAGTACAGAGTAGGTGAGAATGCCACCTCATTCCCTCTCAAAAAGTTATGCTCACGTTGGAGCAAAAGTCCCTGTACAGACTGTGTCTTTTTTCTTGGCAGCCACATCACACTGTTGAGTCCTAGAGGTTTGGTCAAGTGTAAGAGCCAGAAGCCCTCTCTCCCTGTCTTGTCCTTACAGTACTGGGGTTTTGCCTGTTTATTTGTTTAAGTCTATAAAACTGCTTTATGTGATTTTTTAACTTGAACAAATAGAAAATTTTACCATCCTTCTTACCTACTATCCACGGTAACTATATTTAGTGTTGGGTTTTTAGACCCAACCAGATTAGAAATGTGTTTACCTAGGAAGGATCTTTAGAAACCCAGAAGGGCAGGCCTCAAGAATTGGCAGATTTGGCTAGAATAAAAGGGGTTTTAATACAACAGAACCCAAATGCTGAATAAAATCTTTTCGTTGGTTTGTTTGTTTTTCCTGGCTGGATAATTATATTAGCATTTCTTCCTCTTACATTTGTTCTTGTTAGGTTCGTCAACTGGAATCCAACCTTCTCCCCACGAAACACCAAAAACATCTAAACCCATCAGGTACTGTGAAACCCACAGAGCAAGAGAAGTTGAGCTTAAAGAGAGAATGTGAACAGTTTCAGAAAGAACGATCTCCTAACAGGAAGGTGAGTTTTTGAGTGTTTACTGGGCTCCTGTGTTCTGAGTATAATGTGTCCTTAAGTGTATATTTCTTCCCATGTGTGCTTCTAAGGAAGTGAATACAGTGGCATATTTTGGTTCTTTATTATATCTCTTTATGCATCTGCAATCTTGTTAAAACTGTATTAGCATTCTTTTTGATTAATAGTTTCATAAAGAAGATAGTTTTCTTTTAATACGGAGTTTTTGAATCATTAGTATTACAAGTCTTTATAAGATACTAAAAAACCTCATTGCCATTCCAACTCCGACTCGTAACAACCCTATAGGACAGAATAGAACTGCCCCATAGGGATTCCAAAGCTGTAAATCTTTATGGAAGCAGACTGCTGCATCTTTCTTCCGTGGAGCAGCTGGTAGGTTCGAACTGTCGACCTTTCGGTTAGCAACCAAGCGCTTTAACCACTATGTCACCAGGGCTCTTTCTTTGTAAGACAGTAAAATATATATAGCCTTCATGTTAGGAGTATCTTAATATGGTCTATATTAGTTATCTATTACTGCATAAGAAATTACCTAAAATTTCGTGACTTTAAACAACAAACATTTATTACCTCAGTTACTGTGAGTCTGGAACTCAGAAGCAGCTTAGCTGAGTGGTTCTAACTCAAGAGTCTCGTGAAGTTGCAGTCCAGGTGTCAGCTGGGGTTGCAGTTATCTGAAGGCTTCATTGAGGCTGGAAGATCCGCTTCCAAGCTCAATCATGTAGCTGTTAGCGGGAGGCTTCTGTTCTTTGCTGGCTGATTGCCAGTAGCCTGAGTTCCTCACCACCTGGGCCTCTCCTCAGGGCATGGCAGCTGGCTTCCCCCAGAGTGTGTGATGAGAGAGAGAGAGAGAGACTAGCTAAGTCCAAAAGACCAAGATGGAAGCTATAGTGCCTTTTATCACCTAATCTTGGAAGTGACATATCACTTATGCCGTATTCTATTGGTCACCCAGACTAACCCTGGTATAATGTGGGAAGGGACTACACAAGGGTATGAATAGCAGGAGGTGGGGACCACTGGGGGCCATCTTGGAAGCTGGCTACCACATGGTCAGATTTCTGTATTGCAACTCAGTTTGCTTTCCGTACTTTGCCCCATGAAATTAGAGTTCTAGACCAGTGTTACTCTGGGGGTCGCTGTTACTTTTCTTTCTTTCTTTTTTTAAACTAAAACTCAGATGTATCACTGAGACTGTCCAGGTATGAAAAGTCTAATACAGAGTAGATGAGACTGTCACCTCATTCACTCTCTAAAAGTTATACCCATGTCAGAGCAAAAGCGTCTAGACAGACTGTGTCTGTTTCTTGGCAGCCACACCACACTGTTGAGTCCTAGAGGTTTGGTCAAGTGTAAGAGCCAGAGCCCTCTCTTCCCTGTCTTGTCCTTTTTTAAGGCCCAACCAGATTAGAATTGTGTTTACCTAGAAAGGATCTTTTGAAATCTACAAGTGGTAGGCTTCAAGTTTGACAGATTTGGCCAATTAAACTTTGTTTTCTCTGGGAAGAATGATGAACATTGTTTTTGTAATTTAAAAATTCATATTATTATTATTAATATTAATTAAATATAATATTATTTAAAACATAAAAATTTTGGAAGTTACTGTTGCCATAGGCAGTAAGAACGCTGGTTGTACTCTAATGCTGAAATGCCATTTAATTTCAGGTACATTCAAGTGTACTTTTCAGAAAGAGAGTGAATTTCATCCAACTGCTCAACAAGGGAGAAGTCTTAGCATAAGTTTTAAAATAGAATGAATTTAAAATGTACCTGGAAAGATTACATTTCTGTTTAACAATTCTTGTTACTCTCTTCAGGGTTCTTGCTTTGATAGAGGCAAATATCAGAATTCTAGAATAATGTCATGTTCTCCACTTAGCAGTACTCTGAATTTCAGTGTCCTCTAGCTCATTTGATACTTCTTGTAGTGAAGACAGTCCCCCAAATGGATACTCATAAAATCTTCAAATTTCATCTTTAAAGTTGAGAAAAGAATTACATAAATCAAGTTTTACGAATTCTCAATTTTCAGCCTTTAACTTTGCCTTAAGACAGATTTTTTTCCCATATCAGATTCATAGTAGTATACCATGAAATCAATTTAGTGAAACACAACGAGCATTTTTTAAATTAATAAGATATCCTAGAAAATATCAGAGTGCATAGCTTTATAGTAAAGGTAAGTATAATTTCATAATACTTTTCTTTCAGTAATATAAACTTATAACTGAATATACATATGTCTGTGCACATGGGTACAGGTGTATAAACTGAGTTGAAATATAAAATGTATATTTTACAGTGGGTGGCATCAAAGCTTGGAATCCAGCTGCCATAAGGAATCTGTCCTATGTGACGAGTGGTGATTAAAACTATATTACTTAAACGTAAGGAGTCCTTGGGTAACGCAAATGTTTAAGTGCTGGGCTACTAACTAAAATGTTGGTGGTTCAGATCCACCCAGAAACACCTCAGAAGAAAGCCCTGGCAGTCTGCTCCCTGCGGAGCACAGTTCTGCTCTGAAACACATGGGGTCGATGTGAGTCTGAATCAACTCAATGGCAACAGGTGAAGGTGGAATTAAATGTAAGCAATGCACTAAATTCTGTTCCTTTTTGTTTTTCATCACTAAATTAGCTTGGTTTTCCTCCAAGAGTTAACATTTCTGATGCACAAATTTGTTGACATAAAGCAGAACAACTTAGTTGTTCTGTTTTGTTTTTTAAGAAAAAAAAAATTTTTTTTTAAACAGGTGGGTCAGATGAATTCCCTTGAACGAGAATTAGAAACAATTAACTTGGAAAATGAAGGCCTGAAAAAGAAACAAGTAAAACTGGATGAGCAGCTAATGGAGGTAAGTTTTTAAGCAAATGGCTTTAGCTATTAAGAATATTTTAATCCATGAATGAGCCATTTGTTGGAGAGACTAGACATGGCATTGAATTCCTGTTGTGAAAAAAAGTGAAAATCTAAGTACTCTGCCAAACTGAAGTCTTTGGTCTGTCCTGCCAAGTTTGGTATGTTTTTGCTTAATTACACAGACATAGGAAGGAATCCATACTGATTTACAGAGGAAGGAAGAATGCTGATTATTCTAAAATGCAAAGGCCTGTTACTTCAAGCAAGTTGAGGTGGCAGGGACTCAGTCTGACACCGGCCAGAAGGCCCAGACTCTTTGGCCGGCACTGTGGTTGTAAGAGTGTCCTGATACCTCCTCTATTGTGAGGCTTTAGAGATAATCATTGCTCTCTAACAACCTCTTAAATTAAGAAGTCCACACAGGGAATTTGAAAGCATTCGCATTTAGAAATTTTATTTTAAAGTGCTGCCATTGTTCATTACTACATTTGTAACTCAGCACTGCCTTTTGAGAGTCATATCTGATAAATACAAAAATGGGTATGTAAAACTTGTCAGCTTGGACATGGGGTTTATAATCTACTAGATTGCTTTATGAAAACTGGGTACAATTATAGGATATAAAACAAGTTATGTACAAATCATCATTAATAACAATTTCATTGAGATACTTTGAGTAGATGAAAATATTGGTCAATTATTGATCCAACACCTAGTGAACTGCAAAATTTATATAGAGAAGCATGGGTAGAAAATGCCTTTTCGTGCTCTTAAAAAATACTGTGTATATGTATGTTTAAGCCAGGATTATAGGAAGCAAGAGAGAGATTTATATTTTTTCTTATGAAGCTGGACACATGCAAAGGTAACTTAACTAGATGCTTGGTTTTAAATGTGAAATATGGGCAAACATATTGTGTTGACATTTAAATGACCACAGAGGTTTCTATCAATTTTATGTTCTCTGATTTATCCACTAGTGGGGAGATTAGTAAAACTGTAAATCGTGAAATCCAAACCATTTTTTTATTTTTCTGACACATATAATAAATGTGTTCAAAACCTTGAGCTGTGGGCTGTGTTTAGATGTAGATATGCTTTTCTGATGAAGTAATTATCTACTCTAATGAATAAGATATCTGAAGCCAAGCCCAACAATGTCTAGTCCAAATTGAAGGGTAACAGGGTATACTTAATCACTGTTAGATCCTTTCCAACTGCTCTGACAACAGGCCAGTTCTTCTCCCACCTGCTCTAGCTGGCCTCAGAAGCCCCCTTCTCTCCAGCCTCACTTTGCATTGCCAGCTGTTATAAGCAATTTCCCCTCATAATTTTTCTCCCTGATCTGGTAGTGAACATTTGCTAATGGGTGAGAGAAATGGAGTGTTCTTGGCACTGGAGCTGCATAACTAAGGAAAAAGCATGACTGTTCCGTTTGAACACTGAAAAGAGCATCATACACTGTCTACTTTAGTGAAGGTTTCAGTAGGAAATAAGACTGAGCCATTAGCTCTGTATAGATTTATACAAATTAGATTTTTATTTTATTTTATGATACCTATAGATTAGGCCAATTTGGAGGCTCTACAGTGGTTTTCACACCATTTTTTGTGCCCTGGCTCACCTGAGGGATAGGTCTGTTCCTCTTACTCTGGCAGGGATTCTCACCTAGTTGGGGTGAGGGGCGATGGGCAGGCAGGGAAATGTTCCTATATCAGAATCTTGGGAATCAGGGTATCTGAGAAGAGCTCTCTAGGTGATTCTAGTCTGATGCTGTGTGCTCCCTTGGGGAGAGAGGTCTCTCCTCATCCCTATATACCAGTTTAAAAGTCACTGACCTAAAGTAATGCATACTCAAAGTTTAGCTAAAGATCCCAAATCATTGGACTCGGATATGGAAGAGTTAGAAATTGACTCCCAGGCCTTTTTCAACTATATGAGGTAATGTTCTATAAATAATTCATTTGAACATTCAAAAAAAAAAAAAAAAGAAAGGATTATAGACTATACCAGCAGTTCTCAAGCCCACCGTGTACCTCCATGACAGACAACAGCTCAGGGACATGAACAACAAAAATGCCTTACAGCTTCTATTCCACACCTCTCTAACATCAGATTCATTCCATACTAGACCTGGAATCTTCTAAATAGTTATATTGGGATGGGTGGAAGAAAGATGGCAAACTCACAAACCAACCAAATTACAGTAGGTGAGGAAGCAGTTGCAGAATTAGAGCTATAAGACATTTTTGTCTGCAAAATTTATATGCAAAGAAGTGTAAATGTTGATCCTTCACAGCTCTTACTGACTAAAGCACACTAAAGTCCTCATGTATATAGTATACCCAACTGTTCTTTCTCTTTTTATAACTTATACTTTTCTTCCTCTTTTTATAACTCCTGTAATTTTCTTTTGTTTGTTTTTCTTGTCTGTGGCTAACCTGTACCTAGAACTCAGTGGTTGGAACTAGCAGAGAAGGGTGCAGTTCTCTGCCTGAGATAGTGTGTGAAGGTAGAACATTCTTTTCAATGAACTTTCATAGCATGGAGACATCTCATTAAACTCCTTATTCATGTAATCATTTCTACTGACTATAACAATAAGTACTTAAGGTAAGAGCCATTATTCATTTTCATTTTGATTTAACTGTGGAATATGTCTCCATTTACTTTTACTCCAGGATTTTCCTCAGTATTTAAAGCATTGTATGTGAAGAAAATTATCTCTCTGATATAAAATTATGGGAATATAATTCTCCATATCCTCTATTCCTGAAAATAAAGTGGTGGGTTTTCTGCATCTACAACTAGAAGTATTTAAAAGTGGGTAATGGCCCACCTCAGAAATTCAGGTTTAAAGAAATGGATAGTGGCTCTGAAGTTTCATGATAACATTTACTTTTAGTTATGCCATGACGGGCCTTTTCCCCCTTCTCACAAGCCTAGGGGTGCTTCCTCTTTAGTACTTGGTCATGTTTGTTGCATGCCTTCCATTGAGCCCTGTGTCTGCTGAATGAATGTGTAGACAGATATGAGGTGGCATGCTTTTCACTGGCCAGAAGGCAATGTGTTCTCCTTCTCCTCTCCTCACCCCATCTTTGACTGGCATGTTGATACATATACCATTTTCTTGTTGTCTTGAACAAATACTTCTATGTACTCCAGATGTTCTGGGATATCGCCTTATATGACAGAATTGCCTGTCTTATTGTGCTATTTTATTTAAGGGTATAACTACACATTGATAAACTAAGGTAGGTTAAAATATTTTTAGATGTAAGGCAAGATTCTTTGCAAAAATTGCAGCCTTGGGTTTGGAAAATATGTAGGCAGTAAACATTTGCTTTTAATTATCTTTATGAATGGTAGGTAAGTAAAGTGGGAAAACCCTAAAGTATAACCATTTTCTCTCCTAATTTTCCTACTTCAACCTGTTTAAAAAAAAGAATAGAGGGATAATCTAATTAAATTTTGTTCTAGTGTAAGAAAAAATGAAGTAGGATTAAGATATATTATGTATATCATGAAGGAGCCTTGGTGGTACAACAGTTAAGCACTCAGCTGCTAACCACAGCATTGGTGGTTTGAACCTACCGAGTGGCTCTATGGAAGAAAAGACCTGGTGATTTGCTCTAATAAATATTCCAGCCTAGAAAACCCCACGGGGCAGTTCTACTGTGTCCTATAGGGTTGCTATGAGTTGGAATTGACTCGATGGCACCTAACAACAACGTGTATATCATTTACCTCATGAGGAAGTGCTATTTTTTAAGTCTAAAACTGTTAAAAAGGCCTGCTTATTAATTATACTACCTCCTAAGCAAAATGACTCTTTATATCTGACTCAGGCTCATGTGCTGTCCAATTTCCAAGCTATCAGTGAGTAGTAGAGGCCAGTAATGAATTCATAGGCTTTATTACACCCTGCTTGACACCGTCAAGGGCAGCTCTGTGATTAAAGGCATGCAGCTGACCAGGCTTTGTCCTTGTCCTTCAGATGCAGCACCTGAGGTCCACTGTGATGCTTAGCCCATCCCCTCGTGCTTGGGATCTGCAGCTGCTCCAGCAGCAAGCCTGTTCGATGGTGCCCAGGGAGCAATTTCTGCAGCTTCAACACCAGCTGCTGCAGGCGGAAAGGATCAACCAGTGCCTGCAGGAGGAACTTGAAAACAGGACCTCCGAAACCAACACGCCACAGGTATGAGTGAAGCTCTTTTTTTTCCCTTTAGTAATAAACTCAGATCTGAAGAGTTGCCTGTCTAATTTTTACCTGTTTGTTTGAAAATTATACCAGTTCAAAGTGGGGATAAAGAAACTAAGTATCTTCTGTCAGAGAGTTACACCTTACCTTATTACAGATCCACATAACTGCAGTGTTACTTTTTATTTTTTTTGCTGTGCTACTTCTGAGCTCTCAACTTGTAAGCTGGGTAATTAAGTGTGCTGCGTCTCCCTTACACATGTATAATAGATGAAGAAGTATCAGGATCACTTGAACATGGTGCACAGTTGGGCGAGTCTTATTGTCTGACACCAAAACTGTTACAAAATTCAAGTATAACCCTAGGATATGCGCTACCAACAAAGCATCCTGGGTTTTCCTGTACTCACCAGGTGTAGCCTGCTCAGTTCCATGGAATTCACAAGTAGGAACTTTTCACAACTCTTGAATAAAGTAGAATGTGTAGTTAGGGAAATTTTTTAATTGGCATGGAGCCCTGGTGGCACAGTTAACTTTTAAAAATGATCTAGTTTGAAAACTCTGTTTTTAAGAAAATAAGATCTTTCCCTTCCCTTTGAATTAACATTGTCCCTGCTCACTACCATACATACCCTTACCTTACCTAGTTTTTCAGATTGTTATTTCCCTTTAGTACTTCATTCATAATCATCCTTTTCCAGAAGTCTCTTAACTCCTTGCTCTTGCCCATTTAATTTATTCAGAATTAGGCATAAAGAAATAAAAAGTACTCTTTTGAAATTCTAAATTAATTTTTCTAAATTAATTCCAAAGAAATTAATTTTTCTAAATTAATTCCAAAGAAATTAATTTCTACATAAATTCTAAATTCTTTCTGGTTTGAATGCTCTTCTTCTGTTTTCAAATACCTTGCCTCTCAGTAAACATTTGGTAAGGAATTTCCCAACACTTAATTTCTGAAATCCCCAAAACATGGCTTTGCAAAGTCACATTAACACTGGAGCAGTTCTGTTTTCCTCTCCTACTACTATATATCTATGCTTTGTCATAATGTACTTGTCTTTCTAATGAAACTTTTTTTAAAAATGTGTCCATGTTTTTGGAAGCTTTCTACATACCACTTTAATTTCCAAATATTAAAATTAAATTCTTGAATTAAAATTGTGATAGTGGGGCATTGGGTGGATGCTTCAACTCTTAATTTTATAATTAAAATATAAAACCTTGACATCAGTTATTAATGGATATCCCAAACCAAATGCTTTAGCTAAGATTCTGCTCATTGCTCTCCCATGCACACTATTTTCAAAGTGTTCTCTTCCTACCAGTGTTTAACAATAAAAAAGAAATCCTTTTACTCCAGTTGCTTCAGGGTTAGAGAGACAAAAGCTCTTAAGATTTCTGGACTTAAAAAAAATCCTCCAACCAGATGACGAGGTGAACTATATATGGCAGGCTCTCCTGTTTCCAGTTACTGAGCTGACACAAATTTGAAGATTATAGAATATTATTAGAATCTGCACGTTGTCTGTGTGTGTGGAGTGATGTAATTTCTTCTGCCTTTGTGTTGCTTTGCTTGCCTCTGTGGTGTTAATGTATGTGCATCTAAAGATTGCTTGCATTGTAAGTGTGTGAATTTAGACCTCCCCAAAAAATATAATCTTGACCTCAGGGTGAAGTGTACCACTTGCCTTCTTTCTCTAGGCCTTGCTACCGGAGCAGCGAGCAGTGCATGCAGATTCCTACAGAAGGATTGGGCACCTGTGAAAACTGGGCTGCTATTGATGGCATTTCTTACTATGGCAGATACTCTAATGCACACATCCACACACATACACAAAACACACAGACACAGAGACATAAGCTGAGAAATGTTTTGGAATCAAGTGCTCTTTTAAATTATTTTATTATTATTATTATTGTTAAGCCTTTGCAGTATTATGTCTCTTATTTATTTATGTAGAAATGACAGAGTTTGTGAATCAAATTCACAAATTTCAGCTTGTTACAAATCATTTTATTTATACTATTTAAAGAGTGTGGATTTGAAATTCTTGAAAGGATGTATTCTATATATTTTCTCATTCCATATGTTGTAACTATTTTTAACAAAAGGTACTACTTTTATATATGGAATTTGAAGAAAATCAGCACTATTTATACTGTTTTGTATAAGATGTATAATACTTTTTGACAGGAAAAAGGAAAATTTTGATGAAACAATAAAATAGATTTTAAATATATGACTGCTTTTGTTCTTTTCCACTCTTTTGTCATACTCCATGTTCTTTGAAGTCATTGTTATTATGTTGGGTTTTTTGTTTGTTTGTTTGTTTTGTTTTACTTTGCTTTATTTTTTTAGGCAAGTGGAAACTGGGTACTTTCTACTAATGTTTGAACTTTAAAGAGCCATTGTATTTTTTAAAATACAGGGCTATTTTTAGAAAGCTAGATGTTCTTGGGGCCTGATTTCTTGAAATTTACTTTCTGCATTAGACTCTTGCCTACTAAAATTTTTGTATTCAGATTAGTCACATGATTTAGTTGCTTCATTTATAATTTAGTAAATGCTACTATTTAATATCCAAACATGTTGACTTTCAACTCATGTTTGATCATTCTGCTTGCTTTTTAAAGGATACCTTTTTAAGACTGTTTTATAGGCAAGTTATGCCATCAGCCATTAACTTCTGAGCTTTGTTTAAACATTTGAAGAACCTTTTGAAATCTGGAATTCCTTACGTAGACATTTTGATAGATTTGTGGGAGAGAAAGAGGACAGTCAGTTACACTCTAAACTCTCTCTAGGTCTGTCTGCTCTCTGAGAACCGTGTACTCCTTAATTCATCACTGTTGTGTGAGGAGAGGAGGAAGGAAAGGCCGGGGTTCTTTTCCTGCCCTATTGTTTTATCTAGAAGCTGTTTGTAGGGAGAAGATCCTTAATTTTAAATCTGTTTTGTTGATAAACCCATCCTCCAAACCAGATGTTTGCTTCACATTGACAAGTCAAATTGGGAAACAGATGACTAGAATAACTGGCAGGAAGAGGCTGATTGTTATGAAGAAAAAAACACTAACACCCTTAGAGTAATTAGCCATTTCAAAGGAAAAACAGACACACATATTGCAAGCTCATTGGACATATTAGGCGATTTTGAAAGCTCAGTTTTTGGTTCGTTGTTGAGAGGCCCACAGTATTACACAGACCTAAATCAAAGATGGATGAGTGAAAACCATCTTTTTATTTACTTTGGATACCCATTTTAGTAGAAGTACAACTAGGTATTGGAGCCCTGGTGGTGCAGTGGTTAAGAGCTCAGCTGCTAACCAAAAGGTCAGCAGTTTGAATCCACCAGCTGCTCCTTGGAAACCCTATCGGGCAGTTCGGGTTTTAAAAATTTTGTTTTATCTCAAGGTCAGACTTAATGGTCTGACTGAGACTGGAGGGACCCCCGAAGACATGGCCCCTGAAGTCTGTTAGCCCAAAACTAAAACCATTCCCGAAGCCAACTCTTCAGTCAAAGATTAGACTGTACTATAAGACATAAAATGATATTCGTGAAGAGTGTGCTTCTTAGCTCAAGTAGATACATGAGTCTAAATGGGCAGCTCCTGTCTGGAGGTGAGATGAGAAGGCAGAACGGGACAGGAGCTGGCTGAATAGACATGGGAAATCTGGGGTGGAAAGGAGGAGTGTGCTGTCACAGTACGGGGAGAGCAACTAGGGTCACAGCAGTATGTGTATAAATTTTTGTATGAGAAACTAACTTGAACTGTTAATTTTCATTTAAAGCACATTAAAAAAAAAGAATTTTGTTTTATCTCAGGGGAAGACGGTAACACAGGTAAGATTCTTTTTTGTTTTGTTTTGTTTTTGTCTTTGATTCTTTCTCTGATAGGATTACTTTTCTAACATGTGCAACCAGAATTCCCATTTCACCAGAAATCCATCCTTCCTGTTACAAAGATAAAGCATTTGCTGTCCTTTCTCTAGGCATCTTGTGGGGGAAGATACAGTACTAATGTTTTCTTTTCAGTGTGGCCTGATTTTCAGATGATAATACACTTTTCTTCTTCCCTGCAGGGAAACCAGGAACAACTAGTAACTGTCATGGAGGAACGCATGATGGAAGTTGAACAGAAACTGAAACTGGTGAAGAGGCTTCTCCAGGAGAAAGTGAATCAGCTCAAAGAACAAGTGAGCCTCCCTGGTCATCTCTACCCATCCACTCCACATTCCAGTTTTAACTCCAGCTTTACATTCCTTTATTGCCATTAACTTGTTAACTTCTTTTCTTGTCTAATAAAGGCAAATTCTATTTAAATGTCTACAAGAACTTAGAATCTCTCTCCCATTCCCCCACAAAATATGAATTCTGTATTCTACATCATTTTTTCCAAAGTTCTTTTAAGGCATATATTTTTCCACAATTAAAAATTATGTATTTGCTGACAGTGACTCACATAGCCCTAAAGCATTCCTAATGAGGTTTCAGTGGCTCAAATTGAGTATTTAGTTTTTTTTTTCTTTTTTTCTGTCCAAGCCAGGAAATGTTCCTATTTAAATACACAGAAAAATGATAATGGTAAAAAATTACAGGGAGGGGGACTGGTAATAAATGGAACTTTAGCATTCTTGTTACCAGCAGCTTGTGACAGCCTCAGAAAGAACCTTACTGCTATAGCCAGACTCCAAAAAAAAAAAAAAAAGCCTAGAATCCGTCTGGACTCCAAATTCTAAGACCGCTAAGCAATCTGATCTTTTTTACTTCCTGGTAGCAAGGGTGGCCTCAGAGTTTAGAAAGTAGTTGTATATCCACTGGAGAGACATGCAGGGAGGACTGCTTCCAGGAGGGTTTATGAATTCTGTGGAAACTGAGATTGTGATGGACTGGTGGGGAGGGAGGTAGAAACTGCCCAACCTGGTTTTCTAGGTACATAAAACCTAAAAGAATAATCCTAGGAGAGTCTGAATGCAGAGGTAGGCAGGATCTTTCCCTTGCCCCATATTTTAATACACAGTGTGGAGAGAAATAGAAAGTCCTGTTCAATAAGCATTTATCCATTCAATCCTTTAATCATTCATTTAACACATAGTTACTATGTGCCAGGTCCTGCTCTAGGCACTGGAGATACAGCAGTGGACGAAACAAAGTCCCTACCCATACCGAATGCAAATTCTAGTACACCTCCAAGGTGCCAAGCATTTGGCTGGTGTTAGGTTCAAAAATCCAGAAAATAGGGTTGGCTATATTTTCTGCAGAGGGGAACACAGAGAAGAGATACTTGATTCAGCCCAGGAATTTAAAGAAATCTTCCTGAAGGCCTTTTAAACCAAGTCTTGAGGGTTGAATATGATTGGACAAGTGCAGAAATGTAGAAGGGCGTTTTAGGCTATGGGAACATCACACAGTTGTGACAACATACAGGATGGGGACATCTACAAACTTTGGTGTTAGCAATTCCTGTCCTGGGAAGGGCAGGAGAAGAGACTAGAGAGGAAGACAGGAGCAGAGCAGTAGAAGGCCTTGTGTACTGAGCCAGGATTTTGCATTTTATTCTGTAGGTGATGAAGAGCCATCGAAAGATTTTTAATGAAAGCAAGAGAAGGAAGGAGAACGGGAGGGAGGAAGGAAAGAAAAGTTGTATTAGAAGGGTTCAACAGCCAGCAGGTTCTGAAGTGTTAGTATGTTACACCTGTCAATCATCCAGGTTCTGGGCTTTCAGAGTGTTATAGTCCTTATCCTTATTAATGCTAATAAATTAATTAGCTACTCTTCAGGTTGCTCTTTATCCCCTTAAACCTTTATACTTTTAGATGTCCGGCATGCTTTTAGATGCCCTGGGTGTAAAATGAGGAGTTGGAGGTATAATGAGGGAAGGGAGGATTGGAAGCTATTCACCACAAAAGCAATAATAAAATTATCCCAAGGCTGCTGACAAGTTTTCTCACCCCAACCTAGACTATATATTTTAACCATAAGATTAGAATATACCTTGTAAGTAAGGCTCTATGTAAAAGAGGAAGAGTTAAGAAAAAACAACTGCTCAAGCATCTGATGTTGAGAAATTTAAACATAGTCCACACTGTACACTTCAGAAACTTAAGTTATAAAAGTATTTTGAGATTTTTAGAGAAGGAATAAAAACATAACACCAAATTCATTTAGGTGGGGGGAAAAAGAAACAACTTTCAATTTTGACCCCTCAATTATCAATCTGTTCTTTTTATCAGTAACTTCTACAAACATTGTGCAAAGAAACACCTTGGAAAAAATGGGTTTGCTCCACTTGTACCCATGATGCCAGGTCTGATGTTAAAACTGTATTGTAAATAAAAGAATATAATCGATAGAAGCCTTTTGCCTTTATAGAAAACTGTCTTTTATGTCAGACCTTAAACTTAAAAGCAGAATTACAGAAATGGAGTCAAGATGTTTCTGGTTCTGTTTCTAGCTCTGCAAGAATACTAAAGCAGATGAGATGGTGAAGGATTTGTATGTTGAAAATGCTCAGTTGTTGAAAGCTCTGGAAATGACTGAACAGCGACAGAAAACAGCAGAGAAGAAGAATTACCTCTTAGAAGAGAAGATTGCCAGCCTTAGTAATATAGTCAGGAATCTGACACCAGCGCCACTGACTTCTACACCTCCTCTGAGGTCATAGCCAAGCCAAAGAATATTTGTGCACTTTACTGAAATGGATGGAACATTTCAGTAGGTTCTCACAATCCCTCCCCCCTTTTTTTTTTTTTTTTTAACCTTTAATGGCTTAAAATTAAGCCTAAGCTAAAACTGCCAGCAAAGGATTGGCGTCTCCGTTCATTTTAATTAGTTTTTCTAAACAGATCCTTACAGGAGTTTTGAACAAATATTCACATGTTTCACTCTGTTTAAATATTCTTAAACTTTCTATTTATTTTTTTAAATATGCTACAAATACCAAGAAAGCAAACATATGAAAACAGTTTGAGAACCTTAAAACCCCAGTTTTGAATAAGTTTTAAAAACTACTGTTGTGTACAAATCTATATGTGAATTCCAGATATTTAAGTTTGAAATCTGATTAGAATAGTTATTTTGAACTTTATTTATTTTAAAACCAAATTTTTAGGTGTTCTACACATATGAATACTGAAAAGTCATTCAGTTTCTAATCGTTTTGGTTTTTTGAATTAATTGAGAGACTTTGTTTGATATGAATACTGGGCTCATGTTTGTCCACTAAAATCAGAAAAGCTTGAGTCCATAAAACTCTACTTTCTAACAACTATGACAGTATTACCACTCTTAATGTATTACAGATATAAAACTGATTTACTCAACTGCACTGTTAACTAATTTTAAACCTTTATTTTCTTTGAATAGCCTTTTTTTTTTTTTTTTCCATTTGGGAGCTTGTCGTCTAAGAAATGGTTTATAAAGCCACATTCTTAAAGCATTTGAACTACAGGGAAAGCACTGAAAGAAACCAGTTTGGAGTAAAAAGCTACTCTTGGAAGAGAGATAAGCAAACCATGTGGGTTTTTGTATCTCTACAGTCTTGGAGTCCGTGAACTTACATTTGGGGTTACCTCAAGAACTCAGGGAACAATACCTTAAACTGTCTTCCTGAACTACTGTAGGGCCTCTTTAAACATTTGAAATGTATAAACCATATGACCTTATTTATTTGTCTTATGTATTTACAGCCATAGTAGAATTTTTATTTCTACATTTTTAATGAATTTAATCTTCTGGGGAAAGGCCTTGATTTTAGAGTGAAAAACCTATTCTAACTTGTGGAAGAGGTTTTTTTGTTTATGTTAATATAGGTCAAAATTTGCACACTTCTTAGTCCTATATATCACAAATCTGATCGTAAGAATTTCTTACTATGATAAGCATTGGCATGCCACCTACGGTAAAGGGCTGGCAAATAGGACTTTCCATTCAGTCTCAAGAACAGGACTTTATAGCACAGCAAACATTTTAGATTGAGTAACATTTTTTTCCAAGTACAGTAAACCTACAAAAGCCTGAACCTGTGTAAGGCAAAAACTTGTCAGAGAAGGAAAACTCAGATACTTTCCACTAAAATGAGAGAGAGAAAAGTGGTAAGACTGTACCCTGTCAAAGGCAGAAAACTTGCAAGACCTAGAAAAACAAGGCAGTCCTGTCGATAACGGCTCTCACAGGTTTCATTGTACTATCTCTGCTTCTAGACTACTTCAGCCAGAAGTTGGTGGAGGACTTGCTACATCAAGACACTAACAAAGCTCATCAAAGCCACCTACTTGTTTTTGTAGGAGAGGAATTAGATCAGAAGAATTCATTTTGTGGATTCCAGGAAGCCATGCCCATCTGTTTATAAGAGATATAACAGAAGAATTAAACACCACTTTATGAGCAGGAACATATGATAAAGCAAACTGCCTATTTAGTCATATAATGTCAGAAACTCAGTCTCAAAATAATTTCCATCAGGGAACCTCAGGGTTCCTTGGGACGTAACCAACCTCCTGCCAACCAGCAGTCCTTGCTACAAGAGTCCTGATAAGGCATGACTGTTCATAGGACTGGGAGATCACATGGTGAAATTGACCTTTCAATTTTTGGACAGTTCGTATTATCAAAAAGTCCTGGTTTCCTCTTAGAAATATAATTTCAATCCTTCCTCATAATTACACTTCAGAATATTTGACATATGCTATTATGTCTTCCCTAAATCTTATCTTCTCCAATTTAAACATTCCTAGTAAACCCAACTATTTGTATGGCATTCACTTTAACAAAATTTTTGTCACTTAAAACTGTGGATAGGCATAGACTATGGTCAAAAATAAAACTAAGCATCTATGGTGTATATATGTGATATGCTTCAAGTTACTCAAGGTTATTGCCATTGCAACTGAACACCAAGCACATTTCTCAAATAGCTGGCTTAGCATGTGATCACATTTGTTGTCATTTTTATATTATGAAAAGTGTAGTTTAATTTGCTTACTTCCTACAGATTTGTATTTATATGTATATAAACTTCTGTACAATGATTATAAATATGACTTTCTGTAAAGTTTTAGACTACATTTAAAATCCTTGTATCCAAAATGAAATGCTGCTCAAATGAAAGTTAACAAAAATATAGGTGCTTAATTTCCTGCTTTACTCCACCTAAAAGATTGGGGAAAAAAAACAATGTGAAAAGTATCATATAAGAATCTTAAATTTATACATTTGTGCAGCAGTTTATTTTTGTAGACTGGAGTGGGAATTTAACTGCAGTTTATAAAATAGCTTACAGTTTTTTCAAAGACCTTTTAAGGAGATTTAAGTTTAAACTTAAATGTTTAATATTTGCTTTCAGACTTTAAATAGCACTCTTCAAAATTGGAAGTTATATATTATTTTATAGGCATTTAGCTGCTTGTTTATTAAAAGCACTGGGTTTTTTAAGGCTTTTTTAACTTCTGAAGAACAGTTATTTAAAATTTAGCCCTAGAAGACAGGATCTTCATTTCAAGGAAAGGGAATCAAGTTTGCCTTTGTGATAATAATACTTTACACTAAGAAGAGGAAAATGTACGTAGTAAAACATACATTATTCTATTTTGCTTTCTTCTGCTGTTTAGAAGCCTGAACTCTTAAGCTCAAATTTGTGAAGGGAGAGAAGCAGAAGAGGAAGGATGGAACCAGTATTGTGTTTTACTTATTTTTCTGAAACTCTTCCTAAACCCAGATTTTTAAAACTCATAAATCTGAATCCTTCCTAGAAGCTTCAAATGCATTGCTTATATATTTAATCTTTACCATATTTTACATAAATAGATCACAAAGTCATAGGCTTACAGGGTATAGGAGGAGATCTTACAGGTCTAGTATTTCAATAACGTATCAATACCCAGGGCAGGTATTGTTTTGAGGAACTATTTTTTAAAAATGAATACAGTTTTATGGTGGACTTTGGTTTTTAAATGTGGAAAATGAATTTTTTATTTTTGTGATTGTTATGATTGACTCTTCTGTCTTTTTTGCTGAGTGAAGAAAAAGAGAAAGGTATCATTATTGCCAGTACCTTAAAGATGCTCCCAATCAAGGCAAGGCTAAGAGCTTTGTAAGAGTATTAAACAAGTCCTGTTTTGAATGGATTACCTGTACTGACTCATGGGAATGATATAATTATAAAAGTAATGCCAAAAACCAAGTCAATGCCTATTAAACCAAGTCATTCCATATTTGAAACTTATCCTTTATATCATATTTGGACCTATTTCAGCACTGTAAAGTAGTTTTGGTTTTATGGCATGTGGCTAGTTGTTTAATAACAAATTAATCAAAGTTAGCTTTTTGCTTTTCAACTTCTTTGAATGATACAAGTTAAATTTATTCTTACCGGGGAGACATCACAGCATGATTTAAGGGAACATTTTTCGTGAAGGAAAACCTGAGGTGGAGAGAGCCTGAGTTCATCTAAAGCCATCTCTAGAATTCTGTTCAAATAAAGATGTATTTATATCGGCTTTGTGTATTTCATCTTAGCCCTTCTATCTTAGAAAGATTTTAACATGAGCTTAAAATGTAAATAAATAAATAATTTTGTAACCATGGCTCTTGTTTTCTATACACCCTGAACTTTTCTAAACAGTTTTCAGTATATTTATTGGTCTTTAGAGTGAAAGAATCAAAATATCACACTAAGCACATTCTAAAAATACAGAATCTCAGCCCCCACTCAGACCTACTTAATTGGAATCTGCATTTTAAAAAGATCCCCAAGTGATTTGTTGTTATGATTTAGACCATTGGAACTCCATTCCTGACAAAGAATTAATGACTTTCACACCAGACAGTTTGGGGTCTCTGTATCCTATATATCCTATAGTAGTTCATACTTTATCTCTGAAATCCTGACTTAACCCCAGGCAAGGTCCTGCTTGAGATTTTGGATGCTTCAGAGGTGGCTATATTTTACTTTGCCATCTTAAAGGGTGGCTCACACTTATTAACTGGGTTGCTCATGAATGATGAGATACATGCAATTAGGGGGCACAAAAAGTTAATATGAAGCATATTAGGTTAATATGCTGAATACCAAAATGTAGAATGGAAAGCCTGGGCCAGTCTAATCCTATCTCATATGCTGTTTTTTCAAAGTTTTTATACCAACCTTACACTGCTTTTATCAGGCAGAAACTGTTATCCCATTTTACAGATGAGAAAACTGAAGCCTAACAAAGTTGTGACTTACTCAAGGTCACACAGCCAGGTAAGTAGCGAAGTCAGGACTCAAGGTTTATTTGCATCAGTTCCTCCTCCTGACAAAACATTTCATCAGTGTTGATTGAATACCTCCTGTTTTTCTGTTTACAATCTGACTAGGGTAGAGTGGTAAGCTTTATACACAAAAAATTTTTAAAGATATACATTCATATAGATGATAATCAAGTTTTGTCGATAGTGCTATGGGTACTGACGTAAGAAGGTGAGATTAATGTCCTCGGGTATTTTAACGTATAAATGGGTAAAGTTCTTAACCTAGTATGAAATGTAATTCTACACTTCACTGAGAAGAATGTTGTCCAGTATTAAAATGCTATGGACAATAAAAAGGGGCTATTCTTCAGAAGTGTCAATGTCACCATCTAAGCCACAACAGTTGGCTTCCATCCAGCTGGAGTAGTAAAGGAAGGAGAAGAGTCAGGAATTGGAGGAGGAAATTGAATGTGTACCTGGTTGCCTCCATGAATAACTCCCTCCTATGTCATGAGACCAGAAGAACAACTGGATGGTGCCCAGCTACCATTACTGAATGTTTTGATCAAAGATTCTATAGCAGAATCCTAATCAAAAGGGGGGAATGTGGAACAGAATTTCAGATTCTCAATGGAATCCTGATTTTCTGGAGCCATTGAGGCTGGATGAGCCCACAGAACTACTGCCCTGAGATAATCTTTAAACCTTAAACTTCAAAACCATCCCCTAAAGTCATCTTTGAACCAAGCAATAAACCAAAAACCAAACCCATTGCCGTCAAGTCTATTCCGACTCATAGCAAACCTACAGTACAGAGTAGAACTGCCCCATAGGATTTCCAAGGCTATAATCTTTACAGAAGCAGACTATCACATCTTTCTCCCCTGCAGGAGCTGGTGGATTCCAACCGCTGACCTTTCGGTTAGCAGCCGAGCACTTAACCACTGCACCACCAGGGCTCCTGAACCAAACAATAGTTTAGCTTAATTAGTGAAGTATGTTGCCTTGAGCAGTGTGCTCTTTTGAAGGATTCTCTATGTGGGATCAAATTGACAATACCAACTCAAAAGGTCAGAAGCGAAGCTTAGGGGGCTGTGAGTTTATACTAACGGTAGTGGAATAATTTGGAAAAGGATAGCAGAATGATTGCACAACTTGAGAAACGTTAACAACGGCACTGAATTGTAGAAATTTTTGAAATGGTGTATCTTTTGCTGTGTATATTTTCACCAAGAAAAAAAAAGTGTCAATGTCATAAAGACTATGGAAATGTTCACAATTAAAGAGACTAAATAGACGACAACTACATGCAATACCTAATCCTAGGCTGGATTCTATACTGGAGAAGGAAAGCATGCTATAAGAGGCATTACTGGGTCGACTGACATGATTGGAATATAGATGATAAATTAGAAAACAGTATTGTAGGGATGTCACATTTACTGAAGTTGATGACTACTGTGGTTATGTAAGAGTATACTGCATTCTTAGGAAATACACACTGAGGTATTTAGGGGTAAAGAGCCGTGATGTATGCAACTTATTCTCAGAAACAACAAAATTATACACACACACACACACACACACACACACAGAGGGAGAACAAATGAAAAAGAAAAAATAGTGAACAGATTAACAATAAGTGAATCCAAATAAAAGGTTTGCAAGTATTTGGATTTTCATTCTTGCAAACTTTCTGTAAGTTTGAAATTATTTCTAAATAATACAGTTTTCTCAGACTTTTTTTTTTTTCGTATTTCCCTGGGAATTTGCAAAATGGGAAAACATGGGGGAGACTGGGGCAGTTAGCAGAAGAGGTGAAAGCCAAAAGGATGCATCAAGAGGGTACATACGGTACAGGAGGGGTCATTAAGGAAATGAATCATATATATACAAAAATGAGAGTCATGAAGCAACACAAAAAGGTCCAGTGGGGGCTCAGGATATTTCTAGTAAGCAGTGCATACCTCCTGTATCTCTACATTTGATAACGTACAAGTAATAATTTTTGCTGAGGTAAAAGACACTTCATCCACATCCACAGACACTTTTTTCCTCCTGTTCCCTTGGGAAGAATTTGGCTTAAAATAGAAACCCGCTCTGGCTAGTTTAAGTAAATGGGGATTAACTATAAGGAATCAGATTTGTTACATGGAGCCAAGGGGCAGAAATATAGACAGACTTCATGAGGAATTAAAACAAGGATTTCTCTCTATTCCTATCTCTCTATCCCTATTTTTCTCCTTCCGTCTCTCCCTTTCTATCTCCAATTACCTGGTCTCTTCTTGATTTTCTGGTGAAACAGTGCAACTTTTAAATTAAAGATAACATATCCATCAGGGAAAAGACAAAAGTGGTGGAATCTAGAGAGAGAAAGAAAAAGCAGCAAGCTGCACTGTTAGGACTAATAAAATGCAGCAGTTTTATTTTTACACTGACATCCACTGTGACGGACCCAGGATTCCACTTCTAAACAGTACTAAATTAGCTGCACTCTGACCTTGAAATAAGACTGAATAATAGAACTGGATAAGCAGACATGTTGTATTGGAGAGATGACCTGCTGCCACTATTGCTCGTAAGAATTGCAGTGGGGGTTTGAAAGTACGGTCTTTAGAAGAGAAGCTATGAGGTTTTTGCCAAAGGTATAATCAAGACATAGGTACCAAGCAGTTTTCTATAGATTTTCTTACCTAAGAGCAGTCATTCACAATGGAACCTGTAACCGAGAGGAACCCCAAACAAGTGGTAGACTACATTAGAGAGCATCTTTGATGATTTCCATTGAAAAGATTACTTAAGCTTCATGCTTTCTAAGAGTACAAAGTCTATCAAAGATAACTAGTGGATTTTCATTCCACTCCCCTCCCCCGCCAGGATAGCCACTTCATTGGCTGCGAAATCATCCACTGAAATCCATATATGAGCCAAGAGCACTCTGTGTATGTTTGCTGAGGCTACTCCTCTCCCGGCCATGACACCACAGACCTCAGATTCACCACTATTAACTGCCCAAGAGACCAATCCCAAGCAGGAGGCTATATTGAAAACTGGCTAGTCACTTCTTGTTACAGTCATCTACCTACTTCCTGGCCGTCTCCCTCGTTGACAACTTCAGGACTATGTCACTGCCTTCCTCTCTCTACTAATATTACCATTCTTAGTGCTTTCGATATCCCATAGTTGATATATCCAAAACCGCCAGCCTCATCTTTTCCTCCACCCCACCATGTCATCACTAATAATTTCACCATCTTTATTTCTTTTGACATCTCCTGTCTTTCCAGCTCAATTAACTCTACTATCCTCCACTTCTAAACGTCCTTGATCCTACTACTTTTTTCACTCACCATCACTAATCCCCATACCTACCTCATCTCCTCATATACCTCTTTATCTAGCTTATATTTCTTGATCCATCGCCATAAACACCCCTTTGGAAACATGATCAGTCTGCTTACCCACATCTCCATTATACTTACTTGGGACAATTTGAACCCTGATTAAACCCAACTCTCTATTCTGCAATTGCACAAGAGTAGTTTAAAACGGCTAGAGAAAAACAAACAGCTGCGCTGACTGTCCTCACTTTAAATTTATGAATACCAGTATCATGTGGGCCTTCTGCATTGCTTAACAATTCCACTGCATTTCCCTAGAAAATTCAATTCTTCATTATTCAAACAATGGTTTCACACATTCTCCTCTCTACTCAAATCTCCAATACCCCCATTTGTCTTCCTTAGTCTCAGCTAATACTTAATGTTCTGAGCAATCAGAAGAAATCGTAAGAAAACTGCCTTATTTACCTACTACCAACTCTCAACCCTCCTACATCTCTATCAATAATTTATAATGAATAAACTGTCCCCGTTCCCTAAGCCAACACCTTTATGAACTGGATCCTGTCCCCACTTGCCATCTCAAGAATTTTTTTTCCTGCGATTATTCTCTGTTATATTACCAGCTATCCTTTCTCTATTGTTCCCATCAATACCTCTCCCAGAAGTTGAGCAATTTCATTCACAAATTCTATTACTCTGAAATTTATTTTGCCTCAGACAAGAGAGAAACAGCTAGCTCTTAGAATATTTTCATTTATTTTAAGATTCCATTCAGTTCTGCCTTTTTTTCAGCACAAAGCCCTCTCTTCTTGACCAAGAAGACAGAAGCAAAATAGGAATAGAGAAGTTCTTTCTCATCTGTAAATATGACACCATCCTTGGCAGTGGATCTATTTTTCCTCTTCAGGTACTCAATTCTTCTACATCATAAACTTTTAAAAGTCATTTAGTTATTCTTAATCTTTTTATAAGTCTGAGCTCATTTCTGGCATTCTTCTTCTTGG